TGTTGTAACACGAGTATACAGTGAAAATAAAAAGAAAGGGGAATTTTATTAATATTCAGTTATCTCGAATATTGGGAGCATCGACCAACTCCAGTACAAATACTGAGTGGTCAGGTTCAGTCACCCCGTTACAGTCAGCCGGGGCATACTGAAATGCTCCATTCGATTCTAATAACGGGAGTTAGCAGGATGAGAAGGACCAATTCACACGACGGGTTTGAAGAGCCAATTGGATCCAATTTTGAGAATCCAATCCGGGTCCTCTTACCCAATATGAGACCTGTATTGGTGGGGCAACCCAATGTAGTCTAGTTACGGGAAAATCCGAGTCTTACTACGGACCTCACCCAATCTGACGCGAAGACCAATTTGATCCAATTACGCGAGCATCCAGGTTACTACAGGAATCTTACCCAATATGGAACCTGAATTGGTCAGGCGACTCAATGTGGTCCCGATTACGGGGTTCGATTTTGTTTCGGGCTGTCCTGTTCTTTGTGCCGTTTTAGGGAACGTTGTTTTCGGTAAATGGATTTCTTAAAGGTAAAAACGGAGGAGAAAGCTTGATGGCAAGAGCCAATTTTGGATCCAAGCTTGAGGTGGGAGCCAATTCCGGATCTAAGACGGAAGATTGAAGAAATTCAGAGGATAAGGTTAGGGGGGAATCGGGGGGGAGCTAGTTTTTCAAGCTTTTGTAAGGTTATCAGTTCGGTTTTTCATTGGAGGTTTTTGAAGATCAAGGGAATTAGAGAGAGGAGCTTCATGCTTCGGGTCGGGGAAGGAAAGACATAGAATTTGGATTTTTCTTCTTCATAGAGTTTTGGGAAGACTGAGGCAATCGCTGCTGAAGTCAGTGTTGTAATGGTGAATCGGGATTTTTAAATGAAGTGGGTTTGAATACTCTTGACTGTTTTATAAAATCGAGTTACGTCTGTGATTGAAGGATTAAAGGGGTGTCTATAGGATTGAGTATGCGGAGTGAATGAAATTTATTGGGTTAATCTAACAGGACAGTCAGTGGATACAAGATCGTAAGTACAAAGGAGTATTGAAGATTAACAGTTTGGGTTGTTCGGGGTTCTCTGTAACGTCTAGAGACCTATCGGCTGGGGCAAAAAAAAGACTTCGACAAGCAGTCGAAGAGCATCCGTATAGATTTACGGTACATTGTTGCAGTCGTTTATATTCCAGCAGTCAAAAACTGATAGACTGCTTGACTATCGGCGAATCTCCATACTACCTTCTACAGCCAGACGCCCGACGCGTTCTCGAGCAGGAAAGCACGTAATACGACACCGTATTCGAGACCTCATTGGATTGCCCAACCAAGTCACATCTCATACTGGGTAAGAGGCCCATACTAGGACCTGGATTAGATGTCCTTGTAATTAGATCAAATTGGCCCTTCACATCAGACTCACCCGAATATTGAATTGGTCCTTTTTCCTTTTGCCGATTCTTGGTAAGAACGACTAAGACTCATTCCATCCAATTTACTGGAGAATCTTGAGGACATTGATTTATCTCCTCAATTTTTCCTTGGCTTTGGATCTGTTGATCTCGTTTATTGAAATTGGATGGAGCATTACATTGTTAATAAGTATGCCTCATCTGCTTGCAATTCCTATACATTGGCACGTAATCATCACTGGCTTTGGGATTGGAACATTCACTAGCATAATGACCAACCGTGTCTACAAGAGAAATGACGTAGAGGTCTTCCTGCACCCCATCATGCATATTAGGTGTCTCTATCGGTATATACCTACTAGGCTTGTTCCATGTAGGGTTGGAAAATGAACTTGGTTGTCCCGTTGGTACGGAGGGTACTTGATTCGATGATGCCGATGGGATGACATTAACTGACCCTAAATATTGGCACTGAAATTTGCCAGTGTTTCTAACATCTAAGATGACTAAATATTAATAATATCTTTTTCATTTATATTTTCACCATATAGTCGTGTTACAATATGACACTGATGTTGGCATGCTTGGTGGGAGGCCGTAACTAAATGCTTGCCACGAAGGCATATGACCTTCATAATGTTGAGATCTCGGCCATTGGGCTGATCATCCACACCCTCAAAACCAGATGGGATATAGCAAAGCCTGAGGTTGCATTGTGCGTACAATGGATGGATGGCCTTGCGGTGGTGAAAGGTTCTTTATGCCAATGCCGATCAAGGTGTGTAGACCATCATCCATGAGCAAGAACTCTAAGGCTTTATGGATATCCAACATTGGTTTGATCACTTCATAGTACATGTATTATATGACATATTAATGAAGAATAATATTTTCTATTCTAATCTTTTTACACCCCATCTATCCATATAAGTACCTTACAAATACAAATTTTAAATGACTTATTTAATTTCATACTAAGAGACAAATACATATCAAACACCATGATGTGCAAGATTCAAACTGCCATTCTTTTTGGAGCATCTAATGTCTTCATTAGGTAGCTTAAGGTAATTTATTCACCAAAAATTAATTACATTTAAGTTAAAAAATAAATAAAAAATAACTATAGAGAGATATACAAATGATAATGGTATTATTATTTGTAGGCACTTATAGGTAACAATGGATGGAGCTTAGTGAGCCAAAGTAATAGGAGGCTCTACTATGTTGGCACCATTCCAAACTTAAAAGGCAACATTTATGTAGCCGATTTAAGGTTTATGATTGGCTCATCTCCAGATGGATTTTTTTCCATTGCAATCTATGCTCGCCAAGCTCGTTTGCCACTTGCTGAGAAGCTCAATGAGCGGATCCACTCATAGAATATGTTTGGAACCAACTTGTCTTTCAAGGTGCTACTTACTACCATGTTATTCAATTAAATAGACAAATTATATAGATGGAAACATTTTTAGAATTGACATCTTTCTTATTTTTCATAAATTTTGTTACTAATCCAAGTACAAAATATGAAGAATTAATGAGTGATTATTTTTTGGCATTGGAATTTTTAATTAGACTCTTTTGGAAATTGTTTTGTGACATTTTCTTCATGAACATAGTCATTGAAGTATACATAAATGTAGTCCCTATAGATATTTAGAGTAAAAACTGGTGTATATGAAGAAATTTTCAATATTATTTTTACCCACGATAATTGTGGATTAGAGTCCTTTGCAAATATAGGTTTGAGTTTTCAACCTTGTATATCATCAATATCACATAACTCTTTGTATATTGAACAAGTGGATCTTTACATATTAAAAGATTTGTACCTTTTCATTTCAATTATGTCAAGTATGCACATTCTCCATTTGGTATGAATAATTTTATTTTAAAAAGAAGGAATAGTGGAGCTCAAAAACAAAAAAATTAATAAAAAAATAAAAAATAAATGAAGTGTAATGCATGTTTTGTAATGGTTTGATGTTTATGTTGATACATGGTGCATCCTCAATTTATTCTTTCACTTATGCATTTCTAACAAGGTTCTAGTATTTGTTAACACACTCACACAATCACCCATTTTTTTGTGATACTGCATTTTTCAATACTAAAGTTGTTGAAGTTTTATGAAGCAAGGATAAGTTTAACTGTTTAACAACATGAAATGGTGAGCAGACTGTATTATCTGTTATGGCTATTGATGGCCTGGCTACAAAATTGATAACAGCAAAGGTGCAAACATTCTTCTATAGTCACGAAACTAATACTAAAAAAATTAATTCGAGATAATACTAAAACCATCAATTATTATTGCAATATATCAATATTTCAACACATGGTGATGCACATCTAGAAAATGAATAATAATAATAATAATAATAATAATAATAACCACTTAAATTGATATCACACTCATTAAGTTGATAAGTATCTTACTTATCCCTAAGTATACTTTGATGGTTTGTTTGTTGGTTTTTATGTTTGTATTAAAACTTAATTTTTTTAAGTTTTTAAAAAATGGAGATAAAATTGAGCACTATCTGTTTTCTTATTTTTTTTATTTTTTTTAATATAGCTTTAAGCTCAAACTTGTGTGAAACAGGGCCGATTCAACATCAAATTATTTCAATCGCTGAATCCAGATCCCAAACTGTTGGCTGAATTGTACCCAACTCAGCTTGAGCCTGCCCTTCCGAGGTCCCTTACTGATTCTGGGACCTCAAATGAAGACCTTATCACGGATGACGTGGCAGTTCCATGTGCAGCCTCTCCCGTAATCCCAACGACGCGTGACGTCAGCCCTAAAATGAGCTCCAGCGTGGCAGCAGTGAAGCAAGAAGTAGAAGAAAAGTGTAGGAAGCTCATTCCACCTTTGGTGTGCATGTCCACTTAGCACCATTCAGAAACTACTGCATGATTTTGTTACAAAAATGAATAAATTAATTTTTATAAACTTCATGGCCATCAGCATGGTTTTTAGTCAGAAGAGGTGGCATTACTTTGCTTAAAACCCACCTTGCTCCTTAAAATGTATCTTGCATTTTTCAAGATGTTTTTTATGCAATTTGTGTGTATTTTTTGATAAAGATGCATGTTGTGTGTTCACTGTTTTGACATTTTGAATAAGGGTATCTTAAAAAAGTGTTCAAAGGAAGAAAAAATAAGTTATTGCCAACCATTTGTGGATGTTGGGAAATGATCATGAAATCTTGAACATACATTTATTTTTTCTTTTTCTTTTCTTTTCTTTTCTTTTTTATTTTATTTTTTATGTGTGTGTTCAAACATGCCGTATATTTGACATAGTCTTGTGGTCTTTGAAAAATTGGGTCATTTTTTCAAATGAATAATTGAATAGATATTTGGGTAAGTGCTTGTTTTAAATAAAATGACAACAACCATTGTGACAATAAAAATTGATATGAACAAACACTACTTGCAGTCAGTGTTTAAGAATTGCTTTCCATTCCTAAATGTTTTTAAAGTTGAACTTCATGTCTGTAATATTGCAAAGTTCCTCCTAATCTTAAGCATTTGATAGAGGGCTTATTGATAACTTCAATACCTTTCAACTTGGTCCATAATACTGTGCATTATTTTGATTTTTATTGACCTTTTCGGTTTTGACTAAGAAGTACATAGTTTTGTCTTTGACACATTTATTCTCATTTTTGTAATGGTCAAATTTATATTATAAATAAATAAATAGATTAAAAAAAATGCACACTAATATTCAAATTTGCATTGATTGAAGAGTTGATTTGCATATTGGCCAAATTCTTGATTGATAACTATAAAGTAGTTTTCTTGTAATTGTCCTTTTCAAATTGCACCTAAATGCACATTCAAAAAGTAGTTGGAAAATTATAGACGCAGAAAATGTGGTTCAATTGTATCATATGTTGTAACAATTAATGTGAAATTTAAATATGATCTAAAGATAGTTACCTCTTGAAGCACAGTATTAGAGTTCCATTGTACGTCTTCTTCAGCTACCTAGAAATAAAATATTTAAAAAATTACAATAATAGTATAAACATACTTTAAATTAAAAGCGGTTCTAAATGGAAATTCTAAAACAAAATATATAGTGGCTTTCATTTGTCAATTTTGGTCTCAGTACAAAAATTATCAATAAAGATTTTATTTAAAAGAATTGTAGCACTTACTTGAGAAATAGGTATCAGAACAGACATTAATGGTCGCAAATCAATGTTTCCGTCCTGCCCATTTCACTCTACCTTTTCAGCAAAGTTAATTTTAATAAAATTCTGATAATATCATTTTCGTGACATGAAATAATAAACTAAAAATGATTTATTTCAGTGTGTTTTTTAAGCTGAAAAGATAAAAGAAAAAGACAAAACTTATAAAAAATATTCTCTATACACAAATTGTCTTGTGACTTTATATTCATTGCACAGGCTATTTCCTGCGGTCTTTATAGTGATGATGCACAATTTTACAATTCTATTGTATATGGCACAACAAAAGCAGAATAGGGATAAATTCCAAATCAATTACACTTACTTTCATTTGGGGGATCATATTTAAAGAATTGTTTTCTAATTCTTGCATGCTTGGCACTCTTTGCAATGGAACTCTTGGTGGGCCAACAGACTGACAACAATAACCAATTTTTTATAAAAATATTGAATTAAGACATATTCGTTTTTTAAGCTGATTTAGTTTTTAAAGTATTTTTAGTTTTTCATATGCTTTTTACAACAACAGCAAAAATAATATATATATATATATATATATATATATATATGTGTGTGTGTGTGTGTGTGTGTTTGTGTTTATATATTTTTTATTGTTAATATGTTGGAAATTTAAACTAAGATTTCCTTGTATTCTTGTTTGAAAAAATTGAAAAATATTGCAATGAAAAAAAAAAACAAAAAACAAAAACAAAAACAAACAAATTACACAAAAATCTGAAGTTTTCTCATGAATTTGGCACACAACAATTCAAATTGTACACATGTAATACTACATTGTCATCATCGTTGTACCTCAAAGAATGCGTTTCTTTTGTAATTCAACTCTGGTATGTCTTGAGCACCTAAACAATAATTTACAAAATCATTATATATCTATATATATAGATAGATAGATATCTAGAGAGAGAGAGAGAGAGAACTAGATTCCAGTTATAAAACGTCACTAGATTCAGGTCATAATTCTGGGTCTTTACATGTGAAAGGAATTAATGCAATACATTTTTTTTTCTGAATAAAAATTACTCGTGATGTCTTGCAATTTTATGTTTTTTATGATATTCTTCTACTAAACAACTTCCAAGAGGAAAAGTCCACACCAAAGGGGAACATGGGAACATGGGGAACATGGATGTCTCACCCTCTTCCATTTCATGTCTGCTGTGGTCTTTAGTTGCAAAGCCACCAACCTGACTGCACTCCCCACATCCCCCCCCAACAAAAACTCCCAGTTTTAGGGTTTTCAATTTAGGGTTTTGGAGCAGAGGAGAGAGGAGTTGCATCCACGTCAGCAGAGGGGTGGAGCCACGTCACCCAGGAGGAGTCCTACCTGGCTGGCCAGCTGCCATGTCGTGGAATGCGGGACACAGCATCTGATGTGGCATCTTGCAATTCATTTGCGTCCCACCCAACTCGAAATGTTGGCCTCATCATCTCCTACCATTACATTTTTACACACTTTTCATGGTCATCATCAACTATGTAATTCTCACTTAATGCTTATCTTTTTAATTCTTAGGATATGTAAACATATGTATATGAATATAAACATGTGTGTGTGAGAGAGAGAGTGGGGGTGGCGAAGTATTGTGAAACAATCATATAAATAAAAATGAAAGGATTTATTATGGGTGAAAAGATTTCAATTTAAAGAAATTGGACTTGCCATCACACCTTAACTGTGTGCATTGGGCACATGCACAATGTTGCACTCACTCCTCCATTATTTCCTTTCTCCTTCTCACTTTACACATCAATCGTACAAGTGCTCTAATATGGTACTTGAATTTGGCTTCATTTGGTTTTCAAGCTTTTGGTGCAATTATTTAAATTTAGGATACTTGCAAAAGGTAATCTTAGATTGTAGGATTTGATGAATAAAAACTTTATTGTTATCACATGTTTGTAAATGAATAGAAACAATGTAAAATTGGTTCATCTACTTTGACCTACACGTCTCTAATGCATGAATTGAAATATGAATATTATTCAGATGGAGAGTTTTGATGCAAATTTCCACACTTGACTATATAATCTTTTTTTTGTTTTGCTTTTAGCAAATTTGTCTATATCTAATTATGTGATTTTTTGTATAAGAAGGGAAGTGACACATCAAAACTCTCAATCACAACTACCAAAGTGTTGTAAAAAATAAAACAAAATATTAAAAAAATCGGTTATTGAAAAACAACTGTATCAAACATACATAGGCAATAATTCAATGTGTTTCATACTATGACATCAAAAATAAAGTTTCAAAATCTACATTATTGTGGCTGAAAATAACAAAAATAACCTCTTCTTGGGTGGGTACCAGGGCTTTCATCTTCTTCTACAGTAATTTTTTTTTTTTTTGATCCTGATAGCAGTTCTTTTTTATTATCTTGGATAAAATTAGATTTGAAAATCTAAAAAAAACTGTAGTATTAATATTCAAAAATTAAAAATTTCAACTGTAACACTTAATGCAACAAAATTTGCAATCGTTTTTATTTTTTGAAAGGCATATATTTTACCACTTGTACCCACTTGTCTTTCATTTTTATTGATTTGTTCTGCATATTAGTTTACACAATAAAATTTCGGATATATTTATGTAACTCATGTTTGAATAACTGGAAATTAATATTTTAGATTTAAGATGTATAGAGAGAAAAAAATATATATACATCTTTAAGTGTGTGATTGATGTTTCATCTTTCCTATCTGCATGAAATTTACAGAAGAAAATAAACGAGCAGCATAAAGTAATCAACCTGCAGTATCGATTCTTGAATTACCGCAATCATGATTTAATTTAATTTAATTTTTTCCCACTAATTAAAAATTTATATATATATATATATATATATATATACACATATACATATATCAATTACTTTGGAGATAATCCTAGAAGAACATATTAACTGTACTCTATCTTGCGAGATGTTCATTTAGTGTGAGTTTTTCTTTTCTTTGCTTTTCACACAATCTCAGAAGAGTCCTTCGTAAGACTTGCATGTGTCTTTTAGTATAAATGTTAGAGAAGTAAATTTACTTTTAAAAAATGAAAATAGAAAATAGAAAATAATTAAAGCACAAGATTGTAATTCTAAAGTTTGAGTTCAATAGGACATTTTAAACTTCTAAGTCACCATTTATAGATTTTTAACAAATTTACATGATAAAGGAGGTGACTTTTAATGCTCCATTGCTTGGTGGACCACGAGAAGTTCTTTGAACGATATTCAGATCACAAGGTTTTTTGAATCAAATAATAAATCAATAATTTAATGTAGACTCAAGGCAACAAATTTATAATTCTTAAATTACCAAAACAGATAACAACTTCATTGAATTTGCACATGCTTATTGAAGCTACTAAAAAATTTGATTCACATCATAAATTAAATAAAAACAAGTAGAAAACGCTACATACATTAAAAACACTACAAAAATTCCCTTGAAACAAGTATCATCAAAACTAAAGAACACACTTTCAATTTCCCTGCACCAGATTTACATATACAACAGAGAAAAGAGACTGTTAATTTAGCAAGGTCTCCACGAGCACAAACTTGCAATCCATGCTTTATTCAGTTGGTTTTCCCTCAAAACTTCATTGAATCTTCCTCCCAAAGTATCAACATTGTAGTGACTCCATCACCAAACATCGAATTCATGTCAACTCTCTTCTCAACACTTTTAAGAACATCACACTTGACGAAGCACAACGAAAAGCAAAATTGCAGAAACATGAACTAGAACTTTCACTAATCCTTCATAAAATAAGTGATCGGTTTGTGGATGCTACGCACAATCCAACCCATAAATTGACAATCCACATACACACAGAGAAAGAAACACTGTAACAGTATCAACAAATATGGTGCACAATCAACAAAGCTTCAAATCTGCTCACACACACATTCACCAGACAAAGACTGTTGAATTACCGACGCAGCATGTGTTGTGATCTGAACAGTCGACTTGGTTTCTGGTGTCTGGGTTACCGAAGAGTGCGACTTTTGTGACTCGTTCACCAAAAATCGTTTCGAGACCTGGAGAATCCAGAGGGTGCATTCCACCCACCTGATCACGTCGACTCATTTGCAAAATCGGCTCAGAAAGCGAGCAAGAGTAGGAACACTCCTTCGGAGCGGATAAAAAACCATTCCCATCGTCAACCAAAACTGATGTACAAGGTCGAAGCCGCTGTCTTGCAGGGAATCGACTCACTCTGCGATCACTTGGTGATGGACAAGTTGTGCATTCACGTTTTGGCAGTATAGAATCACCGGTAGCGTAGACTGGAAATGAATGACTCCTCGTCGTCGTGGTGATGTTGGATGCGCAGCAAGTTAAGAAGCAGCCATCCATCATCCACTAAGTGGCGTGCTCTCATCAGCGGTTCAAGACGGCAGGTCCAGAGCGACGTCGAAGTACCCGGCTCCGCAGCGTGGTTGAAATCGCGGCAGTGTCTTCTCCCAAGTACAACCGAGACATCACTGTGCTCGAAGAGAAGGGGAGTTCCGTAGCGGCGCCGCCTTCAACACCCAGATCACCAACTGACACCCAATCTGGAACCACCCGGTCTGGCTACGCGTCTGGGAGCTCATCTCCCATGTCGCGACCAGAGCCAGTGTATCCCGTTACCGAATCCACTGCCTGCCTGGGCCGGCACCTGGCTCGCAGACTGGTGGAGATCGGATGCAATGATATATTCACGGTGCCGGGGGACTTCAACCTGGTGTTGCTGGATCACCTGATCAGTGAACCCGGGATCAACAACATCGGGTGCTGCAACGAGATCAATGCAGGGTATGCGGCGGATGGGTACGCGCGATGGAAGGGCGTAGGCTGTGTCGTGGTCACGTTCACCGTTGGCGGGCTCAGCGTCATCAACTCCATCGCTGGCGCATACAGCGAGAACCTCCCGGTGATCTGCATCGTCGGAGGGCCCAATTCCAACGATTTCGGTACTAACCGCATCCTGCATCACACCATTGGCGTTTCCGATTTCAGCCAGGAGGCTCGATGCTTCCAGGCTGTGACATGTTTTCAGGTCCCTTTCCCATCAATCCAAACCCCCACACTCACTGCATGAACATTGAAAAAAAAACAACATCAACAACATTACTTACAACCTTTGTGTGATGTAATCTCACGATGCTGCATCGCAGGAGAACCGGATCTCGCACAGGCGGTCATAAACTGCTTGGATGATGCGCACCAGCTTGTGGATCGCGCCATATCGACCTGCCTGCTGGAGAGCAAGCCCGTGTACATCAGCGTGAGCTGCAACTTGGCCGGCATCGAGCACCCGTCCTTCACCCACAGCACCATTCCTTACGCAATCAAAGAGCAGTAAGACCCTCTCTCTCGTAAGACCTCATATCTCACAACTGGGTCACACACACTCTACGTCCCACACTACTACTACAAAAATCCATCCGGCTCCCTTCACATCCCCCTTTCTCCTGTGCTTGCTCCTGCTATTGCTCCCAACAGGAGGAGCAACAAAACCTCGCTCGAAGCAGCACTGGACGCCGCAGTCAAGTTCCTGAACCACACTGTAAAGCCAGTCCTCGTCGGAGGACCGAAACTGCGTCTCGGCAAGGCCAAGGAAGCATTCCAGGAACTGGTGGAAGCGAGTGGATATGCCTACGCCACCATGCCGTCAGCGAAAGGCCAACCTCTAGAATCGCACCCGCACTTCATCGGCACATACTGGGGCGCCGTGAGCTCACCCTTTTGTCTAGAAATTGTGGAATCCGCCGACGCGTACATCTTCGTGGGGCCGATCTTCAACGATTACAGCTCAGTGGGGTACTCGTTGTTTCTGAAGAAGGACCACATGATTGTGGTGAACCCGGACCGCGTGCAGATATGCGGTAAAGCCGAGTTCGGATGCGTGCTGATGAAGGATTTTTGCATGGAGCTCTCGAAACGGATCACACGAAACTCCACATCTTTCGAGAATTACAAGAGGATTCATGTCCCCGAGGGCACCATCCCCTCTTCCGGTGCTCAGGATCCACTGCGTGTTAATGTGCTCTTCAAGCACATTCAGGTAGCAATTCTGTTTGTGTTTTTCTACACGCCTAAATACATTCATTGCTCAGATTTTGTGACATGAAGTGCATGAACTCTGTCTGTGCTTCACTAATACTGGACTGAAATCTAGCTCTTGATGTTGTAATTGTGTGTGTTTAGTATTACGAGTTATAGTTTAGAGAGGACTGGTTAGAGGACTAATATATTACCCAACATCAAACCAAACACCCACCCAAAGTTTCTCCGAGGAATGTGATTGAATGTTGTTGCGTTGTTTTGGGGCTTTTGTCTTGTGCATTGTTGGTTGATGTGTTTTTTGCTAATTGCTGGTGTGTGGAATGGTTTTGGAGTTTTGAGGAATTGGGTTCTGAAAAAGGAAGTGACCTTCATGGACGTGTTTAATTGTTTTTATTTGTTTTTTTTGCTTTGATGGTTTTAGGGTATGCTGTCACATGATACTGCTGTACTTGCTGAAACAGGGGACTCATGGTTCAACTGCCAGAAATTAAAATTGCCTGCTGGTTGTGGGTGAGTTTCAGACTTAATGAAGTCTATCAATGAACGAATAAATATATATATATATATATAGAGAGAGAGAGAGAGAGAGAGAGAGAGATGTTGCTATCAAATACAATTGCTACAATAGAATCTGTGCATTATTATGAATAGAAATGGTCTAAGGAGGTTATGAATGTGAATAAAGTCTAGTGAAACTAGAAATATGGTACAATATTCTTTACAATGCATGGTGTTAAAATATGGGCTCCATGCAAAATTGATCTTCTCTGTAAGATTTCCATGTTTCCATTTTTCTGTTAAGATTTGTCTTTGGATCCATAGAAAACCTTCATGAGTAATTTGAATCCTACTCAATTTCTTAGAGTTTGATGTTTTGAAATAATTTATTGGAATTTGCAATGTACTCCTAAAACAATGTACTGCAAGCTAAATACTAAAAATAATTATTTTTGAACAATATATATATTTGAAGCGCATTTGACATTATATGAGAGCATTAAATCTGACTCATCTACACATAAAACTACGCAATTGATTTATAGGGATGTATATACATATATAACTTCATTGTAATTACATGAAATGTGATTTAAAAATAATCCAAAAAAACAAGGGCATTGTGTTGATTCAGAAGGTTAATTTTTTCATCAATTTAAGAGAAATTTTCTTCTATTTTTGCAGATATGAGTTTCAAATGCAGTATGGCTCTATTGGGTGGTCTGTAGGTGCTTTACTAGGTTATTCCCAGGCCTTGAAGGGAATAAAACGTGTGATTGCCTGTATTGGTGATGGTAGTTTTCAAGTATGACTAAGCTTTGTAATTATAATCAAAATTTTATAATTCAGTTTTAAAATAATAATTTCAAAAAATATTATATATATTAATTCCAATTTTTATTTAATTTTATTTAATTTTATTGTATGCTAATGAAAATATATATTATTAGCATAAAATTTCATAAATCAATGTTTAGGTCACATGTCAAGATGTCTCAACTATGATGCGGCAAAATCAAAATAGTATTGTGTTCCTTATAAACAATGGAGGCTATACAATTGAAGTAGAGATCCATGATGGACCCTATAATGTGATCAAAAATTGGAATTATGTAGCCATGATCCAAGCTATTCACAATGGAGAAGGAAATGTGTGGGCAACCAAGGTAATGTTTTCTTGTATTAATCTTCGCATAACATTACTTTTTACCTCAAAGAATCATAACAAATTACATCTTGAATGTTATCTCAAATTATGCTCCAATTTTTAAATTTCACTAAATATGTACATTCAACCATCAATTTCGTGTAGGTTACAAATGAACCACAGTTGATCGCAGCCATTGCAACAGCCACAACTGATAAGAAAGATGCATTTTGTTTTATTGAAGTAATATGTCACAAAGATGATACTAGCAAAGAGCTTTTAGAATGGGGCTCACGAGTGTCTGCCGCAAATGGGAGACCCCCTTCAATTCAAATTTGATTATCCTTTACAACCTTCTTGCTTGTTCACTTTTTTGTAAAAAAAATTATTTTATCCTATAATTTTATCCTTTAGTTTTAATAATTTTAGGATTGCAAGGCTTGTTGCATATTCACATAGTCAGGCTTCACTTGGAACTCGCCTTATTGTTGAAATAAAATTCATGTGTAAATCATTGTAGATTTGGAGCATTTAAACCCCTTTTTGGGGGTTTTCAATGTTTGATTGCAATGGACAATCAAATGTGATCTAATAATGTAACAAAATTGTTGGAAAAAAAATCAAGTTTGTGTGAATCAGTAATTGTTAATTCATTTAATTGTTAATGTTTTTTTTCTTGTAGTTAATGTTTGGTGGCACAATAAACTAAGAATTTATTCTTGTGACTCAAATATAGATAATTGCTTTTTAGTTTATTACAGATAGTAGCAGAAAACTACTAAGTGATGCTTTGTATTCAATTCAAATCACAATTCTTACTTGTTTATGAATACAAACGACACACAATTCTAGAATCATATAAAAATACTATCAATGATCAGTAAAATACACTGTTACAATATACAAGATTCAGGCGTGTTTTGTAACAATTGTTTTGCAGTAGTTGAAGATCCAAGTTTCCAAATTCATAATATTGCATACAAAACATAGTTTTTAAATTTTTTCATTATATTTTTCTGTTATTCTAATAAATGAATTACACGTTTCAAAGACACCAGTAAAAAACTTAAAAACGCTCATGATTAAACAGAAATTAACATAAACATTCTTTAGCACAAACTTAGATTATAAACATTTCATAACTTTTGCAACTCTTGTTTACAATGTGTTATAATGTGTATATATATATATATATATATAGAGAGAGAGAGAGAGAGAGAGAAAGAGAGAGAGAGAGAAAGAGAGAGAAAGAGAGAGAGAGAGAGAGAGAGAGAAAGAGAGAGAAAGAGAGAGAGAGAGTTTTAATTTATTTTAAATAGATTATTAAACATTATCAAAACACTATCTTATTTTTTTAAATGATCTTATAGAATTATGTCTTGATTTGTGATATTTTCTTAGTACATCTTTTTTATTCAAAATTTCTATACTATTTAGAAGTTATATATGTTGCAGCATATAACTTAGTTTTGAGAGATTTAATAAATAATTCAGTTTTGAATCTACTTATTGTTTGTGTATTTGAAATTAAATAAATATAAATTCTAAATTGCATATACATGGATTAATTGAAAATGCTTATAGCATAAACTCAAACCAACTTAAGAAATGAAAAGATCTTCAAATAATGTCTATGGCCTAATAAAAATTATAAAAGAGAATAAGAAAATAAGAAAAAGTGGAGTACATGAAAACCTATTATAATAAAGTTTGTTGACAAAAGACACAAGCTTTAATCTGTAGGAGACTTTGAAATAAAATAAAAGAACTCGATAAGATTTTGAAAAGACATCAATTAGACCTAACAAACTATCTATTCCAGATGAATTCACTTCCATAAAATAAAGAAACTACATCTTTTTTGTAGAACTTGTATAGAATATTCAGTGTTGGAGTCTTAAAAAGCATGACCAAGATAAAACATTAAATTTTCCATTAATCACCAAAGAATTTTTTCTACAATCGGTCTTGCATATTGTTCCAATTCAAACTTGAAGTTGATAAATTCTTTTTATGTGGGAATGTTACAAATGCCTTTTCCAAACGTGGATCACAGCACAAAATTCCCATCTTCATACACCAGCAAAACAAGTGTGTATTAGCTTAACATTACTAAACATGGAAATGCTGGAAAACCCAGTAGTAATGGAAAGCAAAAAACAAAAATAAATAAAAATAAGAAGTCATATACACATTCATTCATCTATGCATTCGTTCATTCGTCCATTGCATGGGTGGGGTCATGAGTGGTGGTGACGTGGATGACCCATCAGCCCCAGGCTAGAATTTCCCGCCAGCCAGCTTCTGGAGAAGGATCTCGGAATAGCCAGGGGAGTAGTAGTGCACGATCTCGATTGGGTAGGCGCTGTTCACACTGTCCACCAGCGACTTGATCTCGCTGCTGCTCTCCACTGCCATCTCCTGCATCTTCCCGAAGCTGCCCGAGGTGACGAACAGAGTTTTCGCCTCCTGGTCGTGAGGGATGACTTTCGCTATCTGGATGAGGACGTACTTCAGGATCCCCTCCGGCAGTGGGGGTCCCTGCAATTATCCATCCATCCCAACTTCATCCTGTTAAGAGTCTCCTCCCTAACACCTTGAATTATGTTTTAAGCATGAATTATTTGTTAAGTATGATTCCTTATTTTGTGAGTATTCAAATAAGAATGTGGTGTTTGTTTAGTGGAAGATGGAACATTGATAAATACAATTATATTATCATTGAATTATGATGGTTATGTAAAGGTGTTTCTGGAGAAAGCAGACTTTCATTATTGAAAACATTTCGCAGCTGGGGACGTACAGCCGGTTGCATGACAGGGATGGAGATGGAAAAAGAGCATGAGGGAGGTGGAGGTTGAGGTAAAGGTAACGCTTACTTGGAGGAGGCTGTTGAGCGCAGGGAAGAACGTGAGCCTGTCGCAGATGCCTTTCACGGCCTTCTTGCACTTGGATTGCAGGTCCTCGCTGCTGTGCTTGGAGACGAAGCCGCCAACGAGCGGGGGGAGCACTTCCAGCTCCGCGACGGCCTTGGCGTGGTTCGGAGAGTGTCGACCAATCTGGCCTAACGACCACGCACTGGCACTCTTGATATGATCCTCCACCTCGGTAGTGAACGCGTTCAACAGCGGGGGCAACCCCTCAGACGCGATCACCGTAAGTGCCAGCGTCTCCGAGAAAGCGGCAATGTATCCCAACGCCATCACTCCTTCACCCCTCCCCCACCATAGCCACACACACTCACACTTCAGGGCCACAACAACACCATCCCCACACTCCCGCCTTTTTCCTCCTCCACAATATTCAAAAACCAAATTTAAAATTCAAATGAAATTCCTAATGTGACAGAAAATGGAGGGAAGGGGGGCACCAGGCAATCGTTCGTTGCCACATGTCTCCCGGACATTGTCCACGAGGGCGGCCACCCCGCCAGTGGCCACCACCAGCTGGGCCAGCTCAGGGGTGTGCTTACACACCTCCCGGACCACCATCGCCGCGTTTCTCCGAACCATCGGATCGGTGTCTCGTAATAGCAGGTAGATCTTCGGGAACACGTCAGCTGCCACGACGACCTGCACAGGCCATCCTTACGGCCATGTCATTCGGTCCATATCATTTGTACATTAAATTGTTCTCTACACTAAATTGCATATTTTAGGTCTTCGACAAATATTTTAGGTGATTTAGGTATTCAACTGAGTAGTAGTGGAGCATTCTAACTAAGTTTTATTTTTTTGTTTTTTTATATATATAAACAAACTGGTATATATATATATATATATATATATATATACCAGTTTGTTATAATTATGCTGCTGGGGATGTGCAATAAGATCACATGAAAAATGATTTGGTGTTATTACCTCAGCTAAATCCACAGTGTGTTTAGCAATTTGACTCAAGAGTGCACAGACCTGCACATATATCAATCACACAAGGGATACAACAAAATCATTTTGGATGAGTAGCTTTACAAATGCATACCATTCACGTATTATATATACATATATATATATATATATATATATGTGTGTGTGTGTGTACATATATCTATGCCGAATAATAAAAATAAAAATAATAAAAAAAAGCTGTCACAACAACTTAAAGTGTTATATAGTTCAACCTTTTTTATAATAAATATGTACAATCTTTTCTATCCATAGATATATTTTATTACATGGTGCATATGCTAAGGCCATAAAATCAACATGACGGACCTCAACATTACAATAATAATCATAATTACAGCATCAAGTCTAATCGTAAACACATTTCAAACACATATATATTTAACTATGTGATTTGTGTATTGGAATTATCAATTTTGAATCAAAATGTATAGATGAACTCATGAATAAGTATGATAAATACCAATCAAAATTTGCATACATACATATATATATATATATATATATATACATATAATGAGGTCATCGTCTATTAGCTCTAATACCTTCAAGCTAGTTGTCTTGTCTAGAATTCAGATTATTTAATTAAATAGAAATTTAATTAAAAAAATACAACTATTAAATGATAATTCCGAGTAGTGAATTTGATAGCATTAGAATATGTGAAAATTTGTTAAAAAAACCATGAACTTAAAAAGTAAGAGAAACATAAAATAAAATAATAATAATAATAACTTTGTACGTAACCTTAATTTTTTGCATTTAATCTGAAACTACGATCGATTTTCCATTCATCCAAACAACGAACAACGAACAATTCAGCGCAGCCAATTACATTGTTTCCAATGGAGGTCAGAAAAAGCACATAATTCAGAAAGGAGCAAGGAATATTCCACACGAGGAGAGAATGTACTCGTGTCGGAAGCAGCACAACTCCGCTCTCGCGAGCATGTAGTAGAAATAGAATGGAATGGCAGAATGCGTTGCGGAGGACACCCTCATGCCTCCGCAACGCTTCCTGCCTGCCTGCCTGCCTGGATCCCATGGCTCGATGCTGTTACTGCGTCAATTGTCAGTCTACCGTGTTTTTCAAAGCGGGAGGGAGTCCATAACTGGAGAGTCAGCTATCTGTCGATTCCAGAATGCAGGGTATTTATTTTTAATTCGGGCTATATCGGCAGGGACGAGATCCTATCTAATGAGGCGCTGCGTTAAGTCTCTGACACTGCCTGCTGTTGAACCACTCCTCGCCGTGCCAAGACGAAAGGATTCGTGGTCTCGCACTATGTCTCTAGGTTCCTGTGAAATCTTGAGGGACTTCCTACCCCTCCTGCACCCTTCCCCCAGTTTTCTTCCACCTTGTCTCTCTTTTTTTATTTACCCGCCCTTAAGATTCGTTACGCAGTCTTTGTGCTTGGCGTTCTCATGGCGTCCGTGTTCTCGGTGACGATGATACCGAGTAGTGTGATGTTTGTCTGGAAAAGCAATGGAACTTTTGGCTGAGGGATATCTGTGTTTTTAGATTTCCTATCCATATGAATCTTTAACCGACGTTCCAGTTTCCATTCTAATCATAAATCAAGTCCACAGACATGGATAAGTATTTATATTAGAAAACTCTCGTATCTTTGGTTCTGTCAGTTTGTGCTTGTCATAGCCACAATTTATGCTTGTGTAACTTATCTAAACTTCTATTTATATATGGAAATAGATTACGAGCTAAATTTGCGTTCATCGACTCTTCTTGGAATTCAAAATGAGTGGTTCCAGTACATTGATTTAGCAGTTTTTTGCTTTAAGGTCTGCCTTAAAGCAAAAAACTGTCTATCTTTATGTATGGTAAAGCTCATACATTATGCCTTGACCGCTTCTATCGCTCAATCGATCCATGCAGGATTCAACAAACTTTCACAATAAACTCCGAGTAAGGAAACAAGGAGACTTTTTCTAGACTTTGTAATATTTGACGTTACAAATCAACTGTGACATGAATGTTGAATTCAAACTTTAAAGATGATAGGAAAATCTAGAGGAAACGAAGGGCTTGATGTTAGTGTTGATAGGGTTTTCATGGGTTAATCACGGAGTCATGAATTATATATATATATATATATATATATATACCTCAATCAATAATAATGCAATCAAAATGACATAAACCTTCAAATGTGAAAGTTCATAGATTTAAAATAAATTCTAAAAATAAATTTTTATTGAACGTTCACTATATATATAGTATTAACTAAAAAAATCATCAATTATTACTTTTAAATGTTTAAAAATCATCAAATGCTGGAGTGTGTTTGGAGCATTTAGCAATGTTTAAAAATCATTGATAGGAATAGTTTACCATTGCCACATTTAGATTTTTTTTTTAATTTTTCAATTTTTTTATAGTTTTTTTTACAAATAAAATTGAAAACCACACATATTAAACATTCTATTTACAAATGTAAATAAACCAAAAGTGAAATAATAAATAAATATAAACAGCAAAGTATTCAAACCCACTTATGTTTATTTTTTAAATTAAAAAAATATAGATTTTTTCTTCTTCTCCTTAGACACACTGCAAGCCACATATCTTACCACTCTCATACAAATCAACAATAAAATCATTTCATGGTCTCTCAAGTTTAGAAGATTCCATGTTCAATATTATTAGATCATAGATACTTTGACCTTTTAAGTAACATATCCTCTTTTATCTTCATCCATTAAAAAAACGAAAAAAGAAAAGAAAAGAAAAAACAACAAAAGAAAAAAATTACAAATTTAAGTTTTCAATTTCATATATATATATATATATGTATACAAACATACATACATGCATGTGTGTTTTCACCTCTTTTCTTAGTTTTGCATCACTATGGCTTATGAGAGGAGCCACAAACGGAACTGAGCCCGCATCCACAATTCCTTGTGCCAATTCTGGAGTGTGTTTGGCAATGTCGGCAAGCGTACATGCAGCTGTACGCCTCAAGGACAGTTCTGGCTCCTGGAATTGTCATCATGCCATGCGTTCACTAGAGTGGGCTTAGGCACACTTTCACATGGCTCAACATCCCCCCCCCTCCCATTATTATGGTGCGTACTATTATTGTGTTTACTTATTTATACCATATTAAGGTGTTGAAATCCTTTGAAACAAAATGTGCATAACCCAATGTGTTGTAGAATTCCTTTTTTTTATTGTTGTTCAAAAACCATTTCATTTTGAGTAAATTGGTATAGGTATTTTTATTTAAATATGATACATGATACAACAAATAGAGTAGACACCATGATTTGATAAGTTTAATCTCTTAAATTTTTTCAAGATTTAAAGTAAAAACATAATATATTTGTATGACATGAAATGGTTTATGCATTACAACACATGTACATTTACAACTATATGCATGTGTGTGTATATATATATATATATATATAGCAATCAATTTGACTTTGTAAATTGGCATTATTTTAAATCATGTAAATTTTTTTCTTGTGCATGCATTTTTTCTAATCTCCTTCAATTTGATTTATTTGTTTTATTTTTTTGAGAAGAAATTCTTTATGCATACAAAGTTAAAAATAGACTAAAAGAGCTAAACAATTTAAGAATCATAAAGAAATATTGATTTTAGTACTTCAGTTAATGATTTTTAAAAATTTATCTTACACTTAATTCGTTAATTACAACTACTGCTGATGAAATTCACATTCAAATACAGGGTATTAGTGTAACAATCTATTAGCACACACTCAAACACTCAAGCCCTTACTGTTTGACACTTATGCTTATTATTTGAAATTGGGTCCACATGTTTAAAATACAAAAAACACATTTTTTTTATCAATTTATTTTTTAATCTAGATACATGAAGAAAAGAAATGGTGATCTTCCAATAACAATATGAGTTATTGTGACGGAGTTAAAACACAAGTTTTAAGTTTTTCATTTATATATATATATATAATCATAAAGTGTTCCACAATTGAAATAAATCCTTAAATTATTTTTAATACCACATGATGTATTCAGGTAAACTAAATAAATAAGACCACATTTTGAATATTGTGAAACTTTGACCCACATTACAAAAAATTAAAATCAGTTCAAAAGTATATTAGAAATCTAATTTTTTATTACACGATTCAGTAGTATGTTGTTGAGGATATTTTTTCATTAATTTTTTAATTCAGATTTTTTTTTTAAAACTTAATGGTGAAATTTTGAATTATTGATGAATCACTTCAAAAACAATTCTAAATGAAGAGTGTGATTCTGCAAAAATACTCACACATTTTTGTCAATCTTAAGACTAAATAATGATAAACAAATGTATTTGTAAACAAAGTGAATGTAAAGTTAAACGTCCTGTATAATACATTCTTTTTCAGGAAATAATATGTAGTTCTAAACTAACATCGAAATACAAAACTTTACACAGAAGAATAGATTCTATTATTAAAGTTTTGTATGACGTTTCTACTTTATTGCAATTTAAAATATTAAATAAGTATTCAACATTAATATATATATATATATATATATATATATATCATGAAATTAACCCTTTGCATACCAAGGTTATCATGTGCTTCAATCTCCTTAATTATTTTTTAATCTAGATCGTCAAGCAAGTCAATTTTAACATGGCATAATTGTATCATTCAAAATTATGTTTAACTGGGTGAAAAAAAAAAAAAAAAAAAAAAAAAAAGGGAAGAAGAAGTAACATAAAAGACGATCACAAATACTGGATTAAAATTTACAACTCAATGGAATTTATTATGGGTTTGGGAGTTTCTAAAAATCTGTTGTCTCTCATAAATATGATAAGATGTGGCATAAATTTAATACCCCTTCACTATTCCAAAAATAATAAAAATAAATAATAAAAAATCGAATATATCTTTGGTATTTTCTGAAAGGGGTTAAAATCATTGAATTCAAAATATAATGTAAAATTTATTTATTCATAAATATTCATTTTAATGTCACAAAATATAACACATATCCATAAAATACATATCTTTTTGAGAAAATTATTCAATGTGTTAAAGTCTGAAACGTACCAAGACAAAAACATGACTGTTATATGTTTTTCCTTTGTCAATTATGGGTAATAACATGTGTAAAAATATTATATTCTGTTTTATTACACTTAAGTTATAGATCTTTTCAGCGTATATTTTTTTTCATAATCAAAGCAATTATCTTCTTTGAAAAAAATGTGATTAATTTTACTGTAGAAGAGCTACTAGATGAATTATGATGTATGAATATTTTATGGCTCAAATTGCAATTGTATGGTGATATAAATTAGATTTTCTCTCACGAGAGTAAATAAAGCAATAATCACCACATAAATGATAATAATATGCACTTAATAATGATAATGATGATTTTAGTTTGGTGATTATTTGATTCTAGCCTTCAAATTTACTTTAGACGACTGCGTATGTGCATATATATATATATATATATATACTTAATATTTTTTTCCATCACCATCAATATTAGTTTAGTGTATTCGTTTTAGTTCAATACAGACACTTAATTTACATGATATAATATGGTATATTATAAGTCACATACAAGTTCAATAAAGTAATGTAGCTTTAATCAATTAGATTCAAATCTCTCCTTCAAAACACAAAGCACTCATCATTTTATTGTTGAATGTATTCGATCTCTCTCTCTCTCTCTCTCTCTCTCTCTATATATATATATATGTATATATACACATAATAAATTCCTAACAAATTCTGTAATTTTTTCAAATACAAGTCAATGCTCTTTGTATCAAAACATCATATACATATAATGATGTTATAATTTTTACAATTGATTTTATTTTATTTTATTTTATTTTAAAAAAACTGCAATGCAACAATTATAATGCATTAAACTTAAGACTGTGTTATAAAAATATGCATTCAGAAACACATACATGCTGTCTACATACACTTGCATCTACACACATACAAAACACACATTCAAGTAGAATTGTGAAATAGAAGAAGAGAAAAGTTGAGAATGAGGTTTGGATGGTTTTTATTTATTTTTATTTTCTGCTTTGTGTTCTTCTATTCACAGTAGTGAGGTAGTAGTTTTTGTAGTGGTACCTGGATGGCAAGCAGCAACAAGCTGACGCCACCGGCATCCACCACCACCTGCGCCAGCCGTGCCGTGTGCCGCACAATGTGGCCGAGGGCCCCAGCTGCCATCTCCTTCACGGCAGGATCAAACTCCTCTAAACTTAGGATCAGTGGCTGCAATGCACCTGCATTCACCACTGCTTGCGCTAGAGCTGGGGAGTGCTTTGCAATGGCTCGCACCACCCCCGCCGCCGCCTTCTTGTTGTACCTATTTTGTTCCCTACATTCCCAAAACCCAACAAGAACAACAACAACCTCCCATGCGTCAATGCCTCCTCTTCACATAACATAACATAACCAACTATCCATACATTTCTAACTAACTAACTAACTATGTATGTATATATATATATATATATATATATGTACTTGCATATGTATAGTAGTTAGTTAGTTATGTTACTTGAGGGAGTAGACAAGTTGGATGAGGATGTTCTCATGCACGATGGCCTCTGCGAGCTCCTGGCTGAAGCTGGCCAGTCGAGCGAGTGCCAATGAGGCTGTTTGTTGGATGTTGGGCACACAGTCCAACAAAAGTGGCCGAAGTAGCGTCATCACCCCAGCATTGTGCAGCACCTCCACATTCTAAAACACACTTTCCAACACACACACACATATTTATACATATTTATTAATTAACTAATCAATTTGCATACAAGCACATATGCCCCCCACCTCCACATCATCCTCTTTTGTAATTTTTTCCATTTCACTTATTGTTGTTGTATGCTTTTTATATGGTGATTTGTCATTCTTTGTGTGTTGGTTGAATTGGACCATATGGCTTTTTGTAATGTTTGTGATTCTGAAAATTAGGTGATATCAGTATATATATCCTTTGTGCTGTCCATATATATATATATATATATATATATACATAATTTGGCCCCTTTTTCAATGTCTTATTATTATTACACTAACAAAAACACATACAGAAAAAGAATCTTCTTAAAACTTGGATTGGAAACAATAAATTCAAAATAAAAAAGCATGAATATCCAATATTTAATTGGCTATATGTATATATTCACACACACACACAAGTAATCTCATTAATACATGTCTCTAATGAAATTTCTTACAAATTTTATTTGTGGTTCTACAACATTTATTTTTACATTTATTTTTTGGCAACCATCATATGCACACAATAATAATCATAATCTTGTATTAATGAAATATCAATAAAAATTTCTTCAAATTCTAGTGTGATTAAGAGTCATAAATGCGTAGTCATTAGGAAGAATTGTTAGCAAGTAATATAGATCATGACACTTTACAACAGATTGTGATTGAGTAATTTTAATGCATCTTGTAACCATTTCTTTAAAACATTTCAACTTTCAATGTAACACATTTCCTATTCTGCACATAAACGATTATAAATTAATCCACCTAATCAATAGAGAAAACAATGCTAATTTTCAAGGTACTGAAGGACTGATTTTCCTTCACAAACACCATGTCAGATAATGAATGGTTTTTTATAAAATAAGAAAAAAAGAGACAGTAATTCAAAAAATTCAAAGAATTCGAAATTATAATAGTGTTAGTTTTAAAATTATATATATATATATATATATACACACACATAAAAATATGTGTACTCATATATACATGAATAAAATGAAGAATTACAATAAGATTTGGATTAGACGTTTATGTTCAACATTTAAGAAACATTATTCTCTTTTCTTTCCTTTCCTTTTATATTTATTTAAAATTGGTTCTTAGTATCAATATTAAGCTTCTCTTGATTTTAAAATTTATACGTTATGAAAGTAAGAAATACTGCAGCTCATTGTTATTATTATTATTATTATTATTAATATTATCAACCTTTTTATATTTCATCTGTTGATTACACTTAATTAAATTTATTGATTTTTTCTTTTTCTTTCTTTTAGCATATTTTTTCATATAACTTAACACCTTACACCCAAGAAATACAAATGGGAAATCATTAGACATATCAGCGTACAAAAGTCAAAACTCATCTAAACATGAAATAATAAAATTAAATATAATTATTATGAATGTTCCAATTAACGTGAAGTATGGAACTAAATGATTGACATCATCTCTAAAACCTAGAATATTTTTAATGAGTTTTTAAAACTAAAATATTTAGAAATCATACCCCATTTCATCTTGGTTTTCATTTTTTTTTAAGAGATGTTTCACACAAACAATTAAATACAAGAAAAAAAAAGGTGTCACATCTCGAATTCAGAACTTTGTCAGTTTCATCATAATCACTTTGAATAACTGATTTCGATTATTTTAAAATAATTTAACAAGATGGGGAGGTCATGAAAACAAAATAACCTTATCCATCAACATGCAAAAAGTGGTTGATTAGAACAACTCTAGGAGTAAATATTTATTTATATACATATAAAACATGAATTTTCTATCAATTAATACTAATTATTTGATCAAAGTCATCTAATTATTATATCATGTGTATATTCTCTTTCAAAAAATGAACATTGAAACAATAAAGAAACAATTATACATCAAAAGGTAATGTTATGCACTTAGAACATAATTTATATTCTCAATCCAAGAGATTAAAACCAAAAATGCTATTTGTGTTTATTATCTTTTTTTTACTTATTTATTTCTTCTTGTTTTAAACAAATTCATTCTCACTATGATTATTATTTTTTATTTACTTATTAATGAATACAGAATTCATAGCAAGAATAAGATTGTTTGAAAGAACTGAAATAAGTATGAAAAGAAACAACTTCATGAATATTAACAATATATAGAGAAAGAGGCCCACTTAATATATAAATATATAAATATATATATATGGTTGGTTTTGACATGTGATACCTGAGGCTTTGTTGCAAGCTCTGCCACAGTTTGGACAAAGATTATGCGTGATTTTTGGTAGTTTTCAAGTACTTGAAGAATAGCCCGTGTAGTTGCCATGTCATTCAAATTCCTGCCCCATTGATTCCATAATAATCATGTCCAACTCTAAAACGAACAATTCATTTTTTTTTTTAAAAAAAGAACATTATTTAAAAAAAAATCAAAAACTTACTTGTTTAAAAACATTCTAAGAGAGAAAATTATTGTCTATTTTTTAAAATTAAAAATAAAATATTCACGTACCACTAACAAACTGCTTCATGTAGGGAAGCATGATGTGCAATGCTCAATTTTCCACATGAAGACAAATGTGTCTTGAAAGTTCTCTCTTTCAATCTAATTAAATTTGAGATATCCGTTATTATTATTATTATTATTATAGTTATGTTTTACTTTTTCATTTTCTGTAGATTAAATGAAACTAGTGTGACACTCTAAATGCCAATACATCAAAAGCAACAAAAAGAAAAGTTCCAAGAATTTTGTTTTTGCACAAGAATGATATAATTGTAGGTTTATTGTACAGGAATTCATTCACAGAGTGAGTATATTGTAAGATCATGGGTTGTATATAATCTGATATATACACGTGAAATGTCTCTTGACATGGTTGAATTGAGCAAATTATTCTTTGTTTTAAAAAATTATTAACCACAATTGTTGCAAGATATTTTTGTTCTCAACATTATAGGCTTGCTTGGAGAACATGCAATTGAATGTGGATTGTGCTTTTGAAGCGTTTTTGTTACAATGACTATTCTTTCTTTTGGATCTCAATTTATGTAAAAAAAAATGAAAAGAAAATAAATTTCTTTAAATCGTTTGATCATTGTGTCAACATGCTTTGTTAAGTGCCAATGTTGAATTTTTTACCACTTTTAATTATAGGTGAAAATCTCAATAGTTGTACATGATGCTAATTTTGACATTAAATATGTTCTTTAGTGATTTAGTGACATTACATATTTAATGTCAAAATTTAAGAATTTGACATTATCAAATTCCAACCCCACAAATTTAGAAAGCATTTTGTTTTAAATTTCATGCCGAAATTTGGGTATTTAAGAACTTTTGTCATTTAGCCTTCATGAAAACTGTAGTTGGTGTTGTGTTTTCAAACTTACACTACTTGGGAATACAAAAAAGATATTCTGTACATTTTGATTTTGATTTTTCGAATGAATACAAATTTAAACTTAAATTACTTAGTTTTATATTTTTAGTCATATTCTTATTTTGTAAATTAAATGAGGTTTTATTGGACTAATTTATTTGCAAATAGTTCTTCAACTTTTTCATTAGTAGAACCTTCAATCTATATCTTCAACAGAAAACGAGACATTGCACCAATTTCAACAGAAAGGTTATTACCTTTTTCAAATTTTGTGAGAACCAATTTAAAAATAGAAAGATTTACTTTCTTAGAAGTCCTAAAAGTTCATGACATTCTTAATAACAATGAAATATGCTTTCTAATACTTGTTCTTACTTTTTGGAACATCCTAAACAAATACCATAAATCTTCAACATATGTTGAATTAGAGAAATCAAACAATGGAGGGTTATTAATGCATATTACTTTCCAAATATTATGCTCAATTTGCAATAAGAAAACTAATGCACAAAATAGAAACAAAGAGAATCTAATACAATTCGGACCATTATGGGATCCCCTTAAGGGGTAGTCCAATCCTCAAATCAAATATATATATATATATATATATATATTTGTTTTTAAAGGACTTCATCACAACATTCCAAATAGTTGTGGGTAAATTTGTGCATTTGACATTCTTCTAAATGTAGTGGCGTTGATTCCAACAACATGGTGTCATTGCACGAATATGCTCCGCTTCAATCTCATCTTGTTTTTCTCTTTGAGCTTGTTCTTTCTTTTTGCATTCACTCTGTTACAAAGTAAATATAGATAAATAAATAAATAAAATGAAATGAAATGAAAATGTTGTCCACTTTTGTTCACATATACACATATATGTTTTTGCAATCAAGTATCTCAGAAAATGGTAAGAGGAATCAATATTTTTAAATAACTCATAATTATAACATTACAAGAAAGCTTTGTGAATGTTTCTCTCTCTAATTTATATTTTTTTAAAGAGTTAATTTATTTATTTTTAAAAATAATGAGACAAAATTTCAACAAAGTATATCAAACTCAATAGTTAAGGATTGTAGCTTGTCGATTTTCTTCCATTAGTTGCTTCAGATATTCTTTTTTCTTGTAAATTTGATTGTGTGTTGCCTCCAGATTATGAGGTCCACAATACCTTCAATATATGATATAATACTTCATGTCAAAACTTTAAAAAAAAATGGGGATTGTTGTTATTGTTGTTGTTACTTAAAAAAAAAATCATCGGAGTCTTTGAATTACTTGTTGTAGTAAACTTCATAGTGTGCTTTGTTTTGCTCCTCTTTTTGAAGCAATTTGTTGGTTCTGCATTTTTGGTTCAATTGGTCTTCCATTGCATTTCGCATTTCTTGTCTGCAAAGGGTTCTCCTCATGTCAAACACCATCTTCTAATTCAAAATTAATAATTAAATATTTAAACTATATATATATATATATACATTTATATATATACATTTATATATATATATATATATATATATATATGAACTGAAATAAATACTTGGTCCTGTTTTTTGATAGGCATTAACAGAATAAATACATCCAAATCTTACACATGTACATGCATTTACATGTTTGAATGAAATATAATTTGCAGTTGTGGGTAATAATCACACACACCACATTAGCACCTACCAATCAAACTCAATACTAAGGAGAGCAAGATGGCACTTTTATTCATTAATTCATTCAATCATATATATATATATATATATATATATACACACATATAAATATATAAATATACATATATACACGTAACATAACCTACCGACTATTAATTACATCATCCCGCTTGGGAGACACAGTTTTCTGGATATGTTCCCTTTTCTTCGCAAACCGTTCTTGTTTGCCATACAACACTCGAAGTTGGTCTTTGAATTCCTTATCTTCATTCTAGTTTCCCCCATCAACCCATTGAGCCCTTTTAGTATGAAATTCCTATATGTGGCCCATAAATTATATGGAATTTTCTTAAATGAACTATAAATGTCAAAAACATCTTAGAAAAATATGTTTCCAAAAATTTCAATATGTGTTGTATGTAATTGAATTTTTGATACACATTGCAATATACCATACATGAATTTGGAATTGCAGGTAATTCATGAAAAAAGCATTTGGAAAAGATCAATTTACTTGTGTGTTTTTTAATGAGGTTGCAGTTATGCGCCTATTCATGATGCTTGGCCTAATTGGAGTCATTGCTGCAAATTGATGCATAGAATTGCCAAACTACTACTTAGTGTTAAGCATTCAAATTCCTTGTCTTAACAAGTGATTTTTCATTAGGGAATGATGGTGGTAACTGAGACTGCTAACAAAAAGTATGTAGAATATGTAGCTATCTATTAAACAGGAAAAAGTTAAAATAAAATTTTAAAAAAATAATTCTGCGTTGTCTTTGCAGATCAGATTTTATGTTTTTTTAACATATTTATGTTATAAAATTTGCAAAAAGAAATAAATTTTCACATGTGTTACATATACATCTCTAAAACAAAAATTCTCTTTAGAAAAAACCAAATTTATCAACAACATATGTAAACTTAAGTTAATCTTCCATTTATGTTTTGTAATAAAATATATCAATGACAATAAAACATCAAGATTAAGGTTGTTTCATTTTTTGTTGCAAAGTTCAATTATTGTTATTGTTAACACAAATTTGTCCTCTTATTTTTGAACTGGATTTTATTATGAAATTATAAACTAAAAATTTTACAATTATTTATTTTCATCATCTTTAAAATAAAAAAAAAGCGAAATTTTGTAAATCAATAAATTATCATTATTAGTCAATGATAAATTAATCCTAATTTTTTTTTTTCAAAAGAAAACAACAAGAAACAGTTTTTCATTCAATGGTACAATTATTTGAACTAATGCCACAGTGATTATTTGCACTAATGCTACAATTGAAAAATTGAACAATTGAAAATGAAATGAAATAAGTCAAAAACTATCCTCCTTTCAAGCAATGTCTTTTGAGATTTATCAGTTACAAATGATTTGTATTGATTTTTATGATGACATTGACCCATAAATAAAATGCCAAGAAAATCACAACCTGAAGGTACAGTTGAATTTAACGATTGGCTTGTTTGTTTGATAAAGTATCACAACTGAAACTCATTGCACTGATTAGATTTTTTAGGTTTTTTTTAAAAAAATAAATATGAATAAATGTGTGTATTAAATTTACATATCATTTAATCCAAAATTTGTAGAATATTTCATACACTTCAATGCTCTAAAAAAAGAAAGGAAAAGAAAAAGACAGGAACCCCAATTGGTTATTTTGTAAAGATAGTTACAAATGTAACTTAATTAGAATTCAGAATTTGAATAACATTTGAATAACATTTAAATATGTTGAATCTTTCATTGGCATGGTTAGGCTAACATCGAAGTGTGAGAAGGTTTTAATAGCTTTTAAGCATCAATAATTCATTTATTGTAGAACTTGATTGGATTTATTTATAGATAAAATAATTGTGCTCCTATTATAAGATAAAAATTCAACATTACATGATTTACTCTTCAACAAAACTCGATTTTGATGCTTTTAATTACACTGTAATTTGTTGTTGCACATTCAGCTTTAATAATGTATAAACAATGAAAGTTCTTTTTTCTTTTTTTTCTTTTTTTTTCCTTTTCCTGGAATGTAAGCTTTCTAATGTACATTGGAACAATAGAGTGGAAATTGCATATGTAACTAAATTGTTGTAGTAACATTTTGAAAAGATGAAAGTAACCCCAATGAACCTTAAAACAATGTTAATAATATTTCAAAATATGATTAATTTAAAATAAAATAAAATAAAACTCTTAACAATATATTTAATAGTCTTCTTTTCTCAAAACATTCACAAAATTTGATATCTTTTGTAAATATGCATTTGTTAAACGGCTTAATTTAACAAGAATGAATAACTTAAGTCATGCTTGCTTGTTGTGTAAAAAGTTTAGCTAAATTACATTTTACATTTATTTTATTTTTATGGTGTTGGATGAAACTTTTTTATTTATTATATTACAAGTTTTTATGAAAACTCAACTAATATTTTATTAATAGATTTACTATTTGATCATGAAAAGATGCAGCTATTGGATCAAGTATTGAACTTAGCTATCATCAGTCATGTCCTTTGAAGATCAAGGGATATCATTGTAATGAGAGAAACTTTTAGCAATTAATAGCTTGAGCTCAATTATTTTGCTCAAGTTTGAAAAACAATAAATTACAATGATTTTAGAATTCTTTTTAACACACTCTATTGCTATAGGTGAAATTCATTAAATTCAACCACATGCTCTGATCTGAAAAAAATAAAAATAAAAATAAATTAAAAAAATTAAAAGATTGCTGACAAAATTATCAATTGAACGATCTACTATCCAATGTTATAAAAAAAATCAATGTATTTAGAACAACAAAAGTAGTATGCAATGCAACAGATCTGGCAATTTGGGCTTGAGTTTCTACTCTTGCATCAGAAAAACTTGCACATCCTAAATTACCTTTTGAAAGGGATCAAACAAAGTTATAAAAACAAATTGCACCAAGAAAATGTTTCCAAAGGTTGGCAAACAACTTCAAGTGTAGGAAAATTGAAACAAAAGTACCTGGTTATAGCTTTTTACATGAGCAAGATGTTGAAGAATTTTCAAATACCAATGCAAAAATTGAACCCAATTTTTATAATAAAAACTATGTATTCCAGATTCTTGGAAGAAGCTTCCAGTGATACAGAGGCATGCAGAATGTGACTCTACCTCTACAATCAGAAAACACAATTAAAACAAAGGAAAGAAAAACAAAATAAAAAATGATAGATTTCAATTAAAATGGTGCACATTTCCATGAAAAGAAAATACTCACACTGGGATATTGGATACGTAGTGTTTTCAAAAAAGTATAGGAATCATGTTTGTAAGTTATTTGAAACCATTCAAGAAAACATTTTGACTTATACATTATTACAGAGTATTACAGAGTTTTTGGATCTCATGATTTTCATGTAAAGAAGAATATTACTACATACAGTTTGGGAATAAGGTAGGAGCCATCTCAAAGCCATATCTATATATATATATATATATATATCTATATACATATATGTATAAATTGTGAACACCTCTATGGTACCCAATTGATGATTTTAGGGGTTTTCTTTATTCCATTGGTTGATCTTTTTCGAAAAAGATTGGGGTTTTTTTCATTTTTCATTTTTTCATTTTTTTTTTTGAGTGTGTGAGCAGTTTCCAATGAAGTAGACAATCTTAGGAGGCTCTGCCATTCCCCAAAATGCTTGAAGAGGAGGATGTTCAAAACCTCATTGCAGAAAGAGACGAACTCCTGCAAAAACTGGCAGAAAATGCAGAAAAGGCCACTTTTGATGCCAATGTCATGACCCAGCTGCGTGACTCCCTTGCCAAGGTTACCCAACACCCTCCCTCCCCTCCCCTCCCCTCCCCTTCATTCAAACCCCACAGCACACATGCATCCAAACCCTAAAACTGCCAACTTGCTCACAGAATCACAAACCCAAATCTTATCCACCCACAAGTCTTCCACCTTCTTCTCATCACATCATGCACTACTCATCACAAAACTCATCACAGGTCAGAACAATGTTGAATCAACAAGAGGGAGATTAATGATATATACTAACAAAAACAATAAAAATAATATGAATAATACTAAGAAGAAGAAGGGATAAGAGAGTATATGAAAGAATGGTGAAGTAGTAAACATCATGACGGATGTATTAGGTTGCAGCTGAGAAGCTTTTGTTGGAGAGCGAGCTGAATCTGGCGCAGGATGTCTACAACAATCCTGCTGCCAGGTCCAAGGCGCCCTCCAAGCGGACCTCCTCCACCGCCGCAGCACTCAACCTGCTGCAGCAGCAAAACAACAACAACAATGGCATGGAGGATGCGAGCAACGTCGACGCCGCGGCTGCCCGGTCCACGCCTGCAGGATCTCGACAAAACTCCACCATGGTCGCTCGACCTGGATCCGTTCGAACCTCCACCACCACGCCGTCGAGGAAACCGTCTGCAGTAGGCCCATCTCGGAAGGGATCCGCGGCGGGGACTGGTGGTGGTGGTGCACCTGATGAAGCAGGAAGGAGATCTAGCAGAAAGAGCTCGACGATGATGCAGAACAATGCAGAGAGTCTTGCGCAGAGGGCGAGTCTGCTGGCGGACAACAATGCGGATGTGCTCGCTCAGAGAGCCTCGATACTCGCGGAGAACAACGCCGAGATTCTGGCGGAAAAGGCCTCGATGCTCGCGGAAAACACGGCGGATGTCCTCGCCCAGCGAGCTTCGATGCTAGCGGAGAGCTCCGCGGTGGCGCTCGCCGACACCGCGGCGGTGCTCGCCGAAGGCTCCACCGACGCCTTGGCGAAACGCGCGTCGGCTATTGCAGAGAACAACTCCATGTTCGCGCCGAACGGCGTCGAGTTGGACTTCTCGTCGTCGAGGCTTCTGCCTGCGCAACGATCCTCCATGAAGAGGCAGAGTGAGGTATTGCCCGACAGTGTGCTGGATGCGGCTCGGGCTAATCTTCGACGTGCCTCTGAGCTTGACGCCTCACGCAGAGCCTCCTCGATGGGTTTCCCATCATCGAAGAGACCTTCAGCCTTGGCATTGCCTTACTCCTTGCAGGAATCCAAGGACCCGAGCCGAAAATCCTCGACCATGAGACCGTCCTTGGATATGGCTGGAACGTCGAGGAAGAGCTCCGCGATGACGACGGATCCGAGACTCGGCAGCGGTCTTCTCCTCGACCAGTTGCTCGAGAAACTGGAAGCGTTGGAGCACGAGATCATGGAAACGAAGCGGAGTTCCCAACTTGCGAATCATGGATCCTTCAACATGGGCGACGATGTGGGCATCGATGAGCAACAACAGTTCGAATACAACTCACCGGAAACAGGTTCGGCGCCTGTGCCAATGCGAGGGTTCTCCGAATATGGTCGAAAATTCTCGTCTCTGCCGCCGGGCATTCCTCTCGAGCCTCGAGGTGGCTCTAGGAGCTCCACACGCAGTGGAAGCTCACGGGGAAGCAGGTCAGGTGTGGCTTATTATCTCCCTCTCCATTTCTCACACAACCTTCTGTGGCTTCAGTTTTGCCTCTCTTGTCAACTGCACGATCTTACCAACCACTCGTTTCAGAAGAAGAACAACAACAACAAAAAAAAAAAAAAAAAAAAAAAAAGGTTCGACGCGTTGAATACGTTCTGAGGCGCATGACCGTGTGCGTGTGCCTGTTGTTCAGACTGGCAGAGGAAGCCGCCACCATGGAAAAGATTGCGAATCTGAAGGCACGAGTGAGCATGCTGGAATGCGAGCGAGAGCGAGAGCGTGTTTGCTTGCTGGAAGCTGCCAAAAAACACGACAAGAGCGACGAAATGTTGCAACGCATCCAGCAACTGGAAATGGCCATCCAACAAACCCACGAAAACTACAAGATTCTCAACAACGGTGGGGCGTAATTCTTTCCACTACAACCCCACAATTCACATTCCCTTTGATATATGTTGCAGCTGTTATGGACTCTACTATATGTGCGTGCAGCACTGTAGTTGTTCTTGTTGTTGTCGTTGTTGTGATAATAAGAAAAGAGGAAAGCAAAAACGAAGTTGGGTGTGTGTTGATGAAATAGAGACAAAGCAGTTGCACTGCAAGAGGCCAGTGAGGCTATACCAAACCAATCGTTGCATTGAGAAGGAGAGTGACAACAACAGAAAACGATGCTCATCTCAACACCACTTTCGAGAACTGAAGAATGAAATGGACAAACGGCGCCGCGATCTCGAGGTTTCTGAATGTAGCATGCAGCAGGTTTTACCCTCTTCTTTCTTCTTCTTCTTTCTACTACATACCGATTCTCCATGATCTATTACTCATCAATATATATATATATATATATATAGATATATATGTAAAATCCATTTTGGTGAGTGTTTGTTATTAGAAGGTAGTTTTACTTGAATGTACTTATTCAGAGTGTGTTGTTTGACTGTTGTATAATGAAATGTTTTTTTTTTAAATGTTTTGACAGTTGTTTGTGATGTGTGTTATTGTTGGCAAAGAAAAAAGCAATGGGGAATTATGGAAAACTATGTAACAAAGCACCCATGATAATAAAGTCCACACCACAGTATTTAGTTGATGAGCAACCTATTGATGGCCAACTGAAGCAGTGTCTCAGTGGCTCACCCACACTTGAATTTACTCACTTGAAATTAGGCAACCAAGGAGGAGTACCTTCTGAGGTATAATCTTAATTAGTTATTTAATCTACATGCACAAATGGGTTTATTCTAAATTAATGTATTTGAAAGTCTGTATCGTTATTAGGAACAGTGATTTGGGTTATTCAAACACACACACACACACACACACATATATATATATATATATATATATTGTTTTCTATTTTTTTTATTGATTTGAAGAATGGTGATTGGAATGTGGTGATGAAGATGATCACGTTTAGCACATCCAAAGGACCACTTGGAGGCCAAATGGTCCATATCATGGAAAAGGTTGGCAAGAATTTGCCACAAGTTGTTATGCAAGAGATTGGGAAAATAGTAATAATTCCAACAATCACTTCCATTTCATGCATAATTTATCATTTTATTACTTTTATTATTTTTAATCTTACAACATTCTTTTTCTACTTCTTTTCTTTCCTGTGCATTATTATAGAATTGGAAGTTTTTACTTTATTTTTCTTTTTGTGTCCTAAGTTTAATATCAAACTTTCAATTTACATCAAAATTTTGATGGTAAATGACAAGAAGTTATTAGTTAACAATTGTGTGACTAATAGTTAATCTTGTTTTGCAGGTAGCATTTGGCCGCTCAGAAAGGAATTCACCAAGGTGCTTATCCCTTGAAAACTATGGCCCTAAGAATTGTCTTTCTAAACCTCCGTGTGGTTTTTAAACACCAATTATTCTATTGATTTTTTATTTTATTTTGTTTTGTTTTTTGATAAACAAAGGATCACATGTGTAATTTGTGGTTTGAAAGTAAGCATCATTCATTCTTCAAATCATGTGTAATTGCAAATACAAAACAACAAATAAAAAGTGCAGTTCTTTTCTTGTATGCATGAGGAAATTCCAATGTGACCTTGATGTTATAATGATATAATGAGACATGCTCTTGCTTGTGATTTAATCTTACATTTATCTACTGTTGATTGTAGAGGATGATAGTATTAAGAAGCAGTGTAATTTTCTAAATTCTTCTCATGAAAATTTTAAAACATGTAAATATTGTGAAAATAACATATTTGACATATTGTCAATAAAAACAAGTAAATAAATGAAAAAAATACCATGGTAAATGATTACTAATGAATAGACACTAAATAATTTATGTAATTTAAAAGGCAGGTAAAATTCTAGAATAAATGCTTTGGCTTTTATACAAGTTATAATAAATTATTTAATCTGCCAAATTTGTAAGATTTTACACCCCAAAAAATTTTAATTTTATCGTGTAAAAATAGCTGCTACTTTCACCAAAACATTCGATGAGATTTAAGATATAAACTTGTACTACTGTGTTAACATTTTATTAAATGCACCTTCTTCTTCTTTTTTTACTTTTTCTTATCAGTGCGTAATTCTGAAGTGGAAATTTGCTGTAAACAATAATTGCAGTAAATGAACATGTTGATTTGAGTTAAAATATTCCAAACATTATTTTTAACCCTTACAATACGCCTACTTTAATTAGATAGTTATATAGCATTTCCATTAAACATTCATCCATCCATCCATACATGTTATGGCATTAATGTGTTTACAAGTAAAAGAAATAATCTTCAGCTGCATTTAAATCCTTGTGCAAGTGACCCTACTGTATTATTGTATGACTCTGAACCACCTGTAACTGTTTGATAAAAAATTACAACTTATATACAATTTTTTTGGTGAATGTTAGATAATTGTGTTTGTATTTAGTAAAATAAAATAGGAACTACATGGTTGGTAGCCTAAACTATTACTTAAAATTTCATGTTTGAAACCCATGAAATACATTCACAAAAAAAATTTCAATTTCTTAAGTTTTTTCTCTTAAATACTTAATATGGATTTTTCCACATAATAAATTACGTAAAGACAAATCATGATAATTGTTGTATTTCATTCTTGAAGATAGGGTTTTTGCAAGCTGTTTGATGAAAATCTTTAAAAAGTATCAATAATAAATATAAACTCACTTTTTTCTTTTTCTTTTTTTCTTTTTACAACAAACAAAACAACCAAACAACAAAAGAAAGAAAGAAAGAAAAAAAAAAAAAAAAAAAAAAAAAGAGCGAGTGAACCTGAGATACCATCACATTCAAGTTTTTCAGTATCAAGAATGCCTGAAATAAGTAGACAAAACATAATAATAAATTTTGAGCTAAATAATATCAGAATCAAAATTTGAGACTGTTGTTCTTTTAGCTCATCTCTGTGTGGTGTAGCTCACATCAAAATACAATAATCCTACTTATTGAACACATAATGCTTTGTTATGATATATATACATATATGCACATAAAAATATTGAAAACATATATTTTGTACATTGGATCTAAAATTTATTTACCCAAATGTTGGATATGTTCCATTATATCACATAATGGAATAGAAGAGTAGGAATATGAAAATATTTGTAAAGTTTTTTAATATTCTCTTGACTCTCATGCTATTTTAATCAAACATACTTACGACCAAAGGCTACATCAATTTTTCCGTTAAACAATAGTGTGACCATCTTTCTCTATCTTATAATTCACTTAACAATTCCACACTCTCAATTTCTACACACATTTCAAAATATTATTTATGGACTTAAAAAAGAAGACTAAGAAAATGATGTCTTGGCCTTCCTTTATTCCTCTCTTCTAAACTAAGTCTACTATAGTCTTTTAGGTCTCTAAATCTTCATAAATCTTGTATTCCAATAATCTACTAGTTTTGATTGGCTTTTATATCTATTGACTTTTATGTCAACTTTAATTTTTGGATTCAATTGACCTTTTTGTGTACACAAACCTGTATTATTTTTATCTATCTAATGAAACCTATTTAATGTTTAACCTACTTTTGTAAGTGACATTTTTCTCTTAATCAACTAGAAAAAAGAGAACATAATTGTACAATTTTATACCTGATGCATACATCCATACATATAATCTAAACCAAAAAAATAAAAAGGTTTTTTTTTTTTTTTTTTTTTTTTTTTTATATATAATTTTTACAGTTTAAAATATAAACGATATCATCAACATTATTATTTATATGTCTTACAAAATATGAAACTTCTTTCTAAAAAAGACAAAAAGGAATAAAATTCTGATTTTCATTATGTGATAAAATACCTTCACTTGAATATTTAAACAGAATGAACATCCAAGGTTTCACTACACAATCAATATATTTTTTCAATTTATAGAAATGCATTTTTCTTTGGTACAATCTCTCTTTGATTATTTTTTTGGAAGAAAAATATAATAATAAAGACTTCATGTTCCCCTAAATTTATATTTCTAAACCATACCTCTTATATCTATAATATCTTACAATAACACCAAATAAAATAGTTTACAATAATAATCTTTGTCACCAATTGATAGTTCATGTATTAGAATATGTAATTTATTCATAGTTCTTAGTATATAAGGTATAAGATGTAAAGTTTAAACTCTAATATTCAAATTTCAAATCTTAACTAAATGCTTGTGAAAATCTTAACTAAATGCTTGTGCAATTGCATTCTTATTGCTTGGAAAAGTTCTTTATTAATGTTGTGCTTTTTTAATTTCAAAAAAATTGTTATGCTGTAGAAGCCATTCTGACTTTTAAGTGTAAAAAAAATATAATTGCCACTTTGATCTTAATAAAAATTTAACTTAAAACATTGTATCTGTGTGTCTTTTATTTATTTATTTATTTTTATTGATGAACCCAATTTCTAACACAAAAGTTCTAAAGTGACATGTAAAATACAAGTTTTCTTTCCAAACATCATTTTAATACAAATCATAAAAAATAAAAAATAAAAAAAATCTACAAAATCACAAGGTCTCTTATGCGAACTAATAGTACAATCGCTTATATCCAACCTCAGAAGAAGATTTACAATAATTGTTACTTTTGTTCACTTTTTTCTAAGTACCTTTTTAATATACCTTTACAAGGCTTTTGTATGACATATTTTAAAAATAGACTTCTAAGTGTAAAGAATATTTAATAATTATATTTATTTTATTATTTTTAACATTTTAATCTTTAATATTGTTCTAAATCTTATAATAATACCATTAAATAGCAAACCTACTTGCTCTTAGCAATATAATTACTGTGTAATCTATCACCTTTATCAACTAAGCTATTTTAAATAATAATGTGATAATCATTAAAAAATAAAATCTTAAATATTTTTTTTCAATTAATTATAATATAACTCAAAGCTTACAAGATTTAATTTGAGCTATGCTTTAGTATCAAAAAATATATATGTTCTATACATTATAAAATAAATAACTATATTACTTACATCTTCATCTATATAAACAATGGTTGTTATTTTAATTTTCAAATTTCAATTTTTTTTTATTGATTTTTTAAAATCCCATTCAAATTGATATTCTATATTAAAGACTTTGAGTAAAAAATTGATTCAAAAATTGATAATTAATTTAAATTACTTACACTACTTTATGTTATTATTTAAAACTATAAACTTTTTGAAGTATATCTACTTTTATAAAAATAAGAAAAAATTAAATCCTAACTAAGCATTTAAGCAAAGTTCCACTACATTGAATTGTTTTTAAAATTAAAAAATGCGTGAATAAATAAATATAATATATTTTATTTTAATTTTTGATATATCATTATAAAAAATAAGTTTTTTTATATGGTTGAATAAAAACATGTGTTGAATGAACAATCTAGGCAAAACTACCCTCACAACAACAACAACAACATCAAACAAATAAAATAAAAAAAAAAGTTGAAAAATGAAAGAAAAGTAAAACCTCCAACTAAATTCATCTACATTGGTGATTTAAAAATAAATAAAAAAAATCATGGTTATTTAATGTTATTGTTACATTTTACAAAGTGAAAGTTATTTTTTAATTTGAAAAGAATAGAATAAGACAGTAATGAGAACTATGACTAAACATACACACACACACACACACACACAAAGTCAATAAGGTTACTAATATTCAACAACAATGAGTGCTTGCAAACACATCTAATACATTACCTATCTTATTAAAAAATAGAAAAAGAGGAGGGAAGAAGAAAAGATTCCTGATTGTCAATTGTAATATGTAAAAATAAAGATATAAACTCACTGTATTAACACTAGGAGAGTGGGCACAAAAAGGAAGTTGAACCTACCTAAATTCTCAAATTGGATAAATGCCCACTAAAAAAAAAATCATTCTACATGGGATAATTTAGGGCATTTTCTATTGACGAATTTCAACCACAACCAAACTCTTAACCCCGTCTAATCGTTCTTAAATAATTTTGTTTTTTGTTTTCTTAAACCCCAAATTCTTAACCCTGCACTCCTCTTACCAATAATATTTTAAGAACGCCCAATAATTGGTTGCCTATAATGAGTTAGTTTCTTACAAAATCTGACACTACTTAATGTTGTGGACATGCATGGATGGATGACGGATGAATGACAGGCGGATGAAATGAAAAGTCAAAGTGGCGAGCTGGGTGATACCTGTTCTGGGAAATCGCTGAATGGTCGCTCGGCGACTGGAGCGCGTTTCCGACTGCTGTAATCCATCCTGTAGGTAGGTACTTAAAGTAAAAGACGAGCATAGTAAATCTCAGCCACACCAATTTGCACACGCGGCCTCCCAAGCCCGGACATCCTGACCCGGTGGGGTAGGGTGGGGTGCGGGTCGGAGGTGGATCGCGGGTGGTGTTGACGCCGTCGCTCGCTGCGGTAGCGGCAATTGCTTGCGTTGCGTTGCGTTGGCTTTGGCTTTGCAGGCGTGCGTGTATGCGTTTGTGAGAAGTAGTAGCAGTGGTAGTGGTGGTGGTGCTAGCCCTGTTCCATTTGTATGAATATTGCGGGAATGAGACGAGATTGTGAGCAGGGATGCACATTCGTTCTCCCTGGCTTTTCCTCCGTGTCCCTGCTCTTGAATTAACGAGTGAAGGTTAGCTTGACTTGCCCCATTCTAGTGTGTGTGTGTGTGTGAGTTAGGGATGGGATGCTAAGGGATTTTCCGGTCCTGAGATCAAGCGGAGAAAGCTCGTGAATGGAGCGAGAGAGATTTTTGTATCCCTGCAGGGATGTGTTAAATGGATCGTGTGGTTCTTGGCGTACAGGGGTGGAGGAGGGTTTTGACCTTGAATCTCCATGAATTGATAGGGGATTTGTCTGTGTTTGGAGCAGATGCTGGATAAAGGGAGTGGACCAATGACTTGGGAACCGGACAAGTCGTCCACGAGGGCGGATTTCGGAGGGGATTTTGTGGCTTCGGATGCGGATGTGAATGTGAATGCATTTCAGGTGATCTAATTAGCTTTGCGATTGGCGATTCTGCAATTTTCCACGGATTTTACGATTAGATTGAGGACTACAGTTTCGGTAATTAGGGTTTTTGGGTGAAGTGTTGCAGAGAGAGAGAGAGGGAGAGTGACAGAGGAGGATAGTGAGACGTGTTGATGTCTGTTGCTTTTTAGGGTGAATTATTGTTCGATGAGGTTTTCGAGCATCTGGTGATAACGCCAGCGTCGGAGGATGGAACGATCAAGAATCGTGGACGCCGTTCCGCGGCGAAGGTGTCCTCGGAGGATCGTGGAAGTGAATCACTGGGTTCATTACCGCTTTTTGAAGCCGAAGGGTATTCCCGTGCTTGCAGAGTTGCTCGCAAAAAATTCATTAACCTCTGCTATCAGGTTTGCATTTATACAAGCCACTCTGATGTTTTCAATCAAAATTATGATTTTTGTGTGCACTAGCAGCAAAACTCAGAACAATCTAGAATTTGTACTATTCTGATAGCGTCACATCCTTGGTGTCGAAACAATGGGCGTAGGAGTTTATCTGTTACAGGGATAGCCATGCCACTTTTAACAATGACCTTTCTTTAGGATACGAACTCCTTCAGTCGGAAGTAGAAATCGGTACCATGAAGAATTTCACTTCCAGCATTGTAGAATCTTTTTCAGCTGCATATTTCCTCTCTCAGACTCTAGTCGTTTCGAATCTGATGAACAAAGGGAGCCCTCTTGCAAATTATTAATGAGCTCTATGATGCAACAGGTCGATGATAATTTGGGAGATCTTAGGCACGAGCTCGAGAGTTTTGATGCAAATCACGAGAAGAAATTTATTCAGGTCGGAGCCGAATTCTTAGTCACTCCCATCTCTTTCTTTCGATACCTCGTCGTCTCTTAATCGAATTCCTAGATTGCGATTATGTGCTGTTTGCCAAGTTAGTTTTAAGTGTACGTCACTGCTAAGCCTGTAACAATTGTCACAATGAGTTGTCGAGCCGGTGCTCTTTCTTAGTGGAAGGGTGTATTTGCAGTTGGAAGAGGGAGCACATGCCTTACTCAGTGTTTCCAGTCGGTTGGACACTCGATTATCAGCAGTATGTCATACTGCTGTCAAAATTGGAGGACATTTACAGGTTTGTCGTCCCTCTTTATAATCTATTCTCTGCTCTATTGGTAGTTGCAATCGATCTAGCTCTCTACAGGTAGTGTTTTAACTTTGTGCTGGCTGTCGACTACTTGTTGTAAGCTAGATTGACTTAAGACTCGTATCATGACCGCGTTTGATGGATCACGTTGAGTATCTGGGTGCTTCTTGTCCTTTAGTCAGTTTCAGTTTGGTTATCGTGTAGTGAGGAGTACTAGTGTTACTGGTTATTTGAGGACTACCAATTTTGTCAGTGCAGAAGGCAGATCAACAGAAGTCTGCTGCCAACGATGCTATCCAGCTAACTAAGGTACGAATTTATTTATGTATGAGGTAATGAAAGTTGATTACTTGGGATACTGGGTGTGATGTACGTTATGAGTGCTGCATTTTTACTGATATTTGTATATCGATTGGAGGTGGTCTAGGCTATTTTATCATCATGGGGTAAGGACTGAATCTTTCAAATTTGGCTATTCCTTACGTTTGTTATTTTATTTATTATTCATTATTTTTGAAGTAAGTTATCAAAAAGTAATTCTTGGTTGATGTCAACGGGTCCAGAACGTAAGCCGACTCAATGTGTGCACCAGTTCAAACAAATAAGTGTACGGATATTGTCTTTCCGATCTCGATTTTAACATTATATTCGTGGTGTGATGTGTCCCAATTCTGAGATGTCTCTTAGTTCTTATAAGAGAATCAGAGATCATGGATAATGTTCTGACAAATGTGGTTATGGTTTTTCTGCTCTCAGTACTTGATGGAGTTTAACTCGAGTCCATTGGAGCTTATGAAGCTTTCTCCGTTGTTCTCTGATGATGCGCGTGTCGTAGAGGCTGCAGCTGTAGCACTGAAGCTTCGTAAGTTTTGTGGCTTAAGCTCCTAATGCACATCATGAATTAAAGTGTAACACCAAAGACGAAATGGTAAACCTTGTAGTGTCAATTAATTTAATTTAATTTAATTTAATTATTTGTTTTTTAAAATTTTAACGCAAGGCGTTTGTAGTCTAGTGGGTTCTGACAACCTTAATACTGTAGTCTTTATGGGGCTACACTTGGTCAAACGGTATCTATGTTTCTGAACCAGAACCATTCGTTGATAAGGGGTGGAGGTTTTGATACTTCAGATGTGTGTCTAGTGTGTAACAATTCATTTTTATTTTAAAGCATTAATTACAGGGCATCAGGTTTCTTTGAAGTGCATTGAGCTTGAGAGTGGGATACCTATTTGCAAGATTTAATTATAACTTTCTGATTTGCAGGTTTGGTTGCTGGGTTGGAATCTGGAGCTCCTGGAACCCAAGTACATGCTACTCCGAGTTTGGGCTTGGAAGCTGCGTTTGAAAACCTTCAAGAGTATTGTAGTGGTACGGTAGTATATGGTCATTTTACACTAGAGAGATTCATGCCAGCTGAGTTAGTTTTATGGTTGATGTAATATGCCAAGTAAAACTCCTTGATACCTGTAGGGTAGTTCTTGCAATTTGGCGCTTTGAATGTTAATAATGCCAGTTCTTGCCACATGTCCTTCAGTAGTTATACAATCGTCATTGATATGTACTGAGTATCTCACCTTTTCGTCTCAGACTTGGAGAATCGTCTGCTCTCCCGTTTCAGCACGGCCTCTCAAAGACATGATCTTATTGTTATGGCCGAGTGCGCTAAAATTCTCAGCCAGGTTAGTCTTCTTTAGTGCCCGGGAACTCTGAATTTGTACGTTAGTGATGCCCATTTCAGTGTTGTTACTCAAGCTGTGTATTTGGCTTACCAATTTGTGCTTATGGTTTTATTTTCACTGAGGACTTCGTAGTTCTACGGATTGTGGATGTTATTGTCTTCGATTCAGGACGATTAGGGTGAGGGCGATTCTAACTAGAATTTTCTAATCTTCATTGTAGAGTGATGTGCTCTGTAAAGTCGGAGTTGAAGGAAAGTTTTCAATATATGCATTTTCTGTAGTTTGCGTGAGCAGCTGATGAGCCATGAGTTCGGTGAATTGGCACCATGCATTTCTGTTGATCAATTGTTGAAAGGGTATTCTAATAACATTATTGTTAAATCTTGGGGAGTCCCTGCTACCTTGTTCCAATATGGCCAGTCCTTGTTTACCAACTCTTCTCCTGAAATGTTTCATGGACCTTACTTTTGCGTTGCCTGGCTTCATTGATGTCTATGCCAACGGAATTGATATGAGATTGAGCTCTCGTTTTATTACTATTCTCAATTGTAAAACTCATCATGTCCTTGCTGCGACAGTTCAACCAAGGGAAAAGTGTGCTCCAGCTGTTTATTGCGTCTCGATCGATGTTTATGGATGCGGAATTTATGTACAATAATGCTTACCCTGACAAAGGATCTGCAGCTAAGCGTCTTCCTGATACGGTCACTGGTCTTTCTGAGACCTACAAGGATATTGCCGGTATGGGCATTAATCGAAGGCATTTATTTGTTTTTCCATCAGAGACCAAAGTGGTATTTGTATTTACTATGACGAACACCGTATATATTTTTGATAAACATTTGAGGAGATCCTGAAGATTAACATCCTCCATCGTGATTTTAAGATTTGTTGAGGAATTAAGGTAGTACTTGCAGGTGTTGGATTCAAAAGAGAGGCTTATGAATAGCTCAAGCAGGGATATTTCTTGGTGATATGTTTTGTAAATTTTGTGAGTTATGTTGAATGCTTATAAGTAACCTTATGAAACCTTTATAAGGTTGTGTAAGGCAATCTAAATTTTGGAGTTACAGGGACTGTTCGGAAGGAGGCTGATGTAATATCCGCTGTGTTCCCATCACCACAAGTAGTTTTGACTAATCTAGTTGAGGTACCTACATTATTCGTTAATTTTGATAAGTATTTCCAATTAGTATGCCTTTGTCCTCAGTTTTTTTTGGGGGAGGGGGAGGGGACGGGGTTATTCGTATGAACGATATAAACTTTATGCCGACTCTTTTTCTGCGCTAACCATAAGAACGTGTTGCAGCGAGTGCTAGAACAATTAGTGGTCGCGACACTTGAAAACCTTCTCTCAATTCCATCTCTAATGAATCCAATTCCAATGGATGAAGGCGGTTATCAGCAGGTATGGACCTATTTTTGTGTTCATCATGGATGAACTATTCAGATCAACTAATATGGGTTTTTAGTTGTCCTTTTTTCAATCTACTTCATGCGGCGTGATTTTTGCATGTTATCATGTGTAACTGTAGCTTTTACTGTACACGTTTGAGTTGTTTGCGTTGACATTATATATATATATATATATATATATATATATGTGTGTGTGTGTGTGTGTGTGTGTGTGTGTTTACGTTTGTATGTAATTGTTTTCAGTACTTGCGCCTGCTTGCTGGGGCTTATGAGAGGACTCACGAATTGGTTAAGGAACTCTGCACCATGGGATCCGAGGAACTGAGTTTTGAAGGTTTAATCTTGACCAATATCCCTGTGCATGAACAGAAATTGACATTCATTTATCAACGATTGAGATGTATGCTTTTGAAGAATCAACCTGATGCATTCATATCGTCTTCTGAACAGCAACCTAGCAGTAATAGAGTATTTGTCCAGGTTGTGTCTAGTAGTCCTATGCCGGCCAATGAACTCTTTCATTGTAGACTGTTGCTCGAAGGAAGTTGTCAGGGGCTAGATAGTTGGCTTTTTTTATTTTTTTATTTATTTTTTTCTTTTTTCTATTGGTTCCCTTGATACTTTCTAGCTTTTTATGATATTTGTCTCATATATGATGGAAGGCAGCTGCTGAACCATTTGGCGTATGTGATGGAAGTAGTGTCATACGATTTGTCAACATTCTCTAAAACTCATCATGGAATGCAAGCAGATCTAGATTACCTTTTTCGTTTAATGCTCACGATTGAGTGTCCTGCACAGGGTGGGTTGAATCCCTCTTTTCACCTTATTTGGAAGTTTATTTAGAAATTGAACGTGCGTCGCTGTCTCAGCTCTTCCAATCAAAGGTACAACCAGTCGTCTTGAAGGAATATACCGAAAGAATGAACCTTGTTGGAGTGGTTCTCATCTGCGTCATAGCATGTTCTTCAGAAGCTTTGATCAGGGCACTGAATAGTTCGGAATAGATGCATTCCCAGATCAACGATTTCATTGTGATTATATATGATTGTGGACTATCCAAAATGGTTTGTTAATATTTGATTACATTTTTTGCCTCTTGTTTATGCCCCTGGTCTTAAATTTGAGCTTTATATTTTTCATGTTCTAACATTATTATCATTCTGTATTATCTTCAGATGGTAGAGTTGAACAAAGATCAAGGATCAAAGCATGATACCGCTGTGGATGAGATTCGTGGTTGGAATGAAGAAGCAGTATCTCGTTGTGTGCTCTTTACTCCACAGGTTTTCGTCTTTCACATCTTATTTTTGTACAATAGTTCTAGCCACGCTGATGTGCAATTTGGTTGTTTTGAAAAAACAAACTCGATCGGAATCACTTTATTGGTTAATTTCCAATATCATTTTACTCTACTATTTCGGATTCCATGTGTTTGTAATTTGTCTTTGCCATTGTTCCTAATTTACGAGGACCTTGAGTTTTCTTAGTTTCTTTCAAGTATTTGATCACCTTGGTTTCTTAGTTAGTTTGAAGTTTGAGTTGTATCTTGCTGATTGTAAAATATATATTTGATTGTTCATCACCTATTTTTTTGGGTTTGAAGCAGCTTTTTGTTGAAAATTCTCATTAATAACAGAAATTTCAAATTGCTTTGATTTGGAATACACTCAGATACCGATTCTCGTCTTCTGTCAATTCCTTTGTTTGCTTTCGAAATGTGATGTATTAGGATCCTCTAGAAGTAATTTGTGCAAGAGAATTTTATGGCGAACGGTGAACGCATGTTCTTATTGCTATTTGCTGTGGTGATACTTGAAGATTGGATATCTGATTTTTCTTGGTTGGGTTTGGGTTTGTGGATGTATGTTGCAGGCTGCCAATTTGGCAATGAACGTGAAGGCCGTTTTTCTTTCCTTTCTCGACCAGGTATAATGTTTTTCGTTTTTATAAATCTCTGTGCTTTTTAATGTTTTAACATTGGTTCGCAGAGATTTAAGGAAGCGCATGGAAAGAATAAGTTGATAGCAAAATAAAGTGTTGCAAGAAAGATGATATAGTCTATTTCTTTGTTTTAGTGTGTTTATTGTTTATAATTTATTTTGTGATTTTTGCAAGATCTACTTCTACCAGCAAAGAGTGTGAATCGTTTTGCATATTCTTAAGGCTTGAGAGTTGGATACTGCGCTTTTTAAAAAGACAAATGCCAACTTGTTTCTGCAATCCTCCTGTAGGAATGCCAGTGATGAAGTTTGGATCAAGAATATTATACAGTACAATTTTAAATGAAATACAGATAAAAGACACATCACAAAATTTGGCTTTACCTTGGTAATCATAGTGAACTAATATGTTATCGAAAGCTGGGACATGGCTCATATTTATTTAGTTCAGCTTTCTTATGTTTCACGTGTATAGGCGGACTGGCTCGTGCATTGAAAGTGCATAAGATCGCGTCCTCTTAATTGGAAGTTGTTTGCTTCAAGCCGGAGCTTTTTTTGACAGGGTTTTAATGACATGCAATGCCGTGGTCACAGGTCAACCAGTACACAACGGAACAATTAGAGAAAGCAATCGTTGCCTTGGATGAAGCAGCGCAGAGACGAAATCTTTACTCCGTTGGCTTTACAGTGAGCCGCCGTGTAGCTGCTGCTGCCACCACTGCGGTTCGTAATCACAATATTGTTGTTCTGTGCTTGCCTTAGATGGTTTTAGTTTTAGGCTCTACCTGCTGGTCTTCGTGCTTATTTTTGTATGTAATTTTTTGCCGTCAATCAATAATCGTACTTGGTATTCTATGGGCTCCTTTTAACCTCATTGTTTTCAGAAGTTGGTTGGTGATCATGAAGAGGATTTCTACGGGATGTCTTTACGCTAGGCTAGAGGTGTATTCTATGATTATAATCGATCGTTGGTGCTCTTGTGGATATTAAGGCTGAGGCAGCAGCTTCCGCGGGAGAACGGGCGGTTCGTGGCTTTATGGTCGCTGTGTACAGAGCCACAACTAATGCCACTTCGGTTCAGCAGGTTCGTTCTCACCACCTAGGCGTGAAAGACGGAACACACCCTGTATTTGCATCTGGAAGGCTTTGTCCATATTCCTGCACAAAATGTGTACAAAAGAGAATTCACATGTTTGCGTCCATTTGGCAGTATTTGACGAGCATCTCGCGATTATTACTTCCCTTGGATGGAACACATGCGGCATGCTGTGAACAGATGGCATTATCCATGGCTAATTCTGAACGCGCTGCTTTAAAAGGTCTTCAACTGTGTATCGACACAATCATGGCGGAGGTCTCCATGCAATTCTCTTTTCCAATTTTGTATCATTAATTGTCCCAATTCTTTCATTGTAGACTGTGAGATGTCTCGATAGGATTTGGACTTGTCCGATTCTTCTCGTGATGTTAGTAACACGGATTGTGGTTTTGTAGGTTAATCGCATTTTATTTGCAGAACAAAGAGCCACTGACTTTAAGCCAGCAGAGCATGGAAGTTCTTTGGACCATCAGCCCACCAGTGCCTGTATCAAGTGCGTAGATTTTCCTGTTGTTTTTGAATTTGAAGACTTTATTGTACTTGTCTGTTGTTGTAAACGTAATGCAAATGATATTTGATCGAACTACATCTGGAAAGATGATCGGATAGAATGGCTGTTGGTTAAATCTTCCTCAACTGAATTTTTTTCTGAAAGAAAGTTGTAGAACATGACTGATCATTAACTAAAATCACGAAATTTTAAGTTTTTTCTGACATTGTTGTGTGGAAGTTTTTAATGTATTTCAATAGTTGGAGAAGATCCTTCGTTTCTATAATTCTTATGATGTAGTCTTAAATTTTTTCAGAGTAATATCATATATGGAGCACATGCTGGATTTAGGGTATGAATCCTTAGAAGGGCTTAATAAGCAAGCCTTTTTGACAGAATTGGTATAGGTACTAAACCCTTAACTGCTATGTTTTGGGCGTTGATGAGCCTTATTCTCTGCGTGTAGATGAAGGCAATGTCAACTGTTATTACTAGCAGCACATTTCAGCCTATATTTTGACATGGGACACGCCTGAATATTTACTTTTTCTGGTCAGATGGCTAGTTCGATGAAGCGTACTGTTAGTCTGGGAAGGGTTTTAAAATGAAAGTGATGTTTTGTAGGGCAATCGACTGAACGATAGCCTCTTGATTCACTGGCAACGTTTTACCTTCAGTGTCAGGTTGGTTGGCTAACGCCAATTTATTGCATTGTGAAAGCACATTTGCATTCAGAGTGCATGAGCTATGCATATTCTTACCTGTTTAGATGATGTGTGCATGTAGCGTACAAATGCTAATATTCATCAAGAAAGTCCAATTTCATTTTAAGATTTGAGGATTTGTAGTCTTATCTATAACTATGTTTTTGGCTGCTTGTGTGCGTAGTGGAGGTCTTCGTTTGAAACGCGACGTTGCAGAGTATGCAGAATTTGTCCGAAGCTTTAAGGTTTCAATCATAGATGAAAAGTTTGAGTTTCTGGGCACGTAAGTACAGTTTGCAAACTTTAGTCCTCTTTCTGTTCCATTATTTCATCAGCTTTTGGTGCTATTCAAGCTTCAATTGCGACCTGATTATTTGAACTTGTGTCTTGTAGTTTGGCGAATGTTCTCATAGTATCTACAGAAACCCTGCCCTCTTTGATCGATAATAGTCTCAAAGAGGCTAGAGAAGACGCAGTACGGTATGTTCTGACTGCAAGTACTGACGTCTTTCAGTAGCTAATTCTGCAAGTCTTGTTGAGGGATTACCATTTTATAAAAATATCCTGTATCTTGTTCCTAAGTAATGCTCTTTGCTACAATAGATAACTAAAGCTTGGTAATACGTTAAGTGAAGAGTTGGCACTTTTGTTGTTGGATTTCATAATTATGAAGTATTTATTTTCAAAAGCTGGCGTGTTGTTCTAAGCTGTATGAGGTGTTCCCTTCGTTTTGTCTTTTTATTTTTTTGCAGTTTTGTCAAGTTGAGGGAGGACTTTAAATTGGCGAAGCTCGAGAACAGGTAAATGTTAATACTTTACAAAGATCGCATCTTTACTTCATTTTTAAAATTCGTAAGTTTATTGCGGTGAGTATCGAAGTCATTGAATCGTGTTGCAGAATGCTCTTTCCTAACAGCTTTTCGTGGCTATTGTACTCTACTATTGCAGGATCAGTGGATGGCTAGACAAGCCAAAGAAAGCTACAAGTGCATTCTTGCAGATGGGAGCTTTATTGGGGAATAAGCCTGTCAATGAAGAAGCAGTTGCTGGACAGGACTCACGGACTCCGCTAGTGTCAAATACAGTAGTAAAGGATACAGGTAGGAAGGATTCAGTTCATCCAAATTGCGATTTTGTAATGTCCCCTCAAGTACTCTCTGCATTATCTTCTCTTTTAACAGCAGTATCATTTGAAATGGGTTCCCTGAGAGAATTAAGACACAGAATGTCAGGAAGTCTGGAAATATTTTTCATCTAACTGACTTTGCCCATGATGCAGATGGTGGACATGGTGAAGTGTATCCTGTGTCAAAGGTTAGGCATAATGGTGTGACAGTTGAGGCTATTGGTAGAGTTACACCACCACGAGTACGAGATAGTGAAGGAAGAAGATTTCAAGGTTATAATAAGAAGATGGATGAATTTGGTGGCCTAGTTTCAGGACGATACGAATCGAAGATACATCGTACTACAATGGACGATTATGGGGATCTTGAACCAGCATCTCATTATGCTGAAGGTGAGTTAGGTTCATCTCGAAGAACAGGTGGAAAGAGTGCGGAAGCAAATGGAAAACTATGGACTGAAAGAGGGTCTAGCCGTAGCGGGAAAGGATCATTCTTGAAACCAGGAGTTTCAGAATTTGGAACATTTCGATACCACGGATCAGGAGAAGAGAGAGAAGCTACCATGCGAGACAACGCAAGTTCTTCGCCGCTAAGCCGGTCTGGAACCCTAAGTGAATTGCCTGACAGAGTTGGAGATGGAGTTGGAGCATATAGTGATGATGTCGCATCAGAAGAGAGAAATGATGCCATGAAAGAGACTGTAGGTTATTCTTCTTTTCGGGGATCTAGACGGTCCAGTAGATTGTACCAAAGCGGTTCAGGAAGACTTGAAGGATACAGGGATGTGGGCTCATCGAGGGCGAGAGATGTTCGTTCACACGAGAATACTGATTCTCCTTTGAGAAGATCCGAATTGTTGAGAAGATCGTCTCAAATCCTTGGTGACAGAGTTGGATCGCATAGGGAGGTCGAAGGAGAACATGCTGAAGTTTCCCTACTAGAAAGTGCTATGTCTACGTCGCTGAGAGAATCGAGAAGACCAAACCGAATGTCCGAAGAGGACAGAGGTGGTGTTAGGGGTGGAAAAAGACAGGAGTCAATGTATGTCCCGCGTTACTCACGTAACGAGGTGACTGGCGGTTCTCGAATGTCCGCTACTTCAGTCTACAAGGGACGCACAGACACCAACGTAAAACCTGAAGAAGTCAGTCTGAAGAATTCGCTTCATGAACAGAGGACGATGAGCAGTGCGTCTGGTGGAGAAGCCAATATTGGGAATTCATTCCACGAACATAGAACGATAAGCAGTGCGTCTGCTGGAGAAGTCAATATTGAGAATTCTCTCCATGAACAACGGACGGTGAACAGCACGTCTGGTGAAGTTAAAGTGGAAAACTTTGTCCCTGTTGTAGGATTACAGCGCCTACAAAGTACATATGTCAAGAAAGAAGCTCCTTTGAAGTCAACCTTTATTCATGCTCCGTCCACCCCTATTCCGGCTCTTCCTGCACCTCCTACAGCTATGTCAGATGAAACACCTGCTCCTGTGAAGTCAGTTTCAGTTGGCCAGCTGGATATAAACAGCTATGCAGACAAGTTGTCCTTGGATGCCATTCGTGATGACGAAGATGCAAGCTCAACCAGTGGTGGATGGTCATCAGATTCAGCTTCCTCACCTCGTTCAGGACAAGCTGCTCCAAGACTTCCTTTACCTTCAGTTAGGTTTATTGGTGAAAAAGGTCAAACTGCTTCTGGAATCCTACCTTCAGATGTTAAACCTGGCCTTTCAAGACGTGCTAGCAGGAAAGATAGTATTTCTGGGCTTTCAAGACGTCCTAGCAAAAGGATGAATTCAAATCGGTTTCTGTATAGTATCAATTCCACTATCTCTAGACTCGAAAGCACCCAGGAACTCGATTCAGTTTCTCCTGCACCACCTCCAGCTTCATCTTCACCTGTTGTTGAAGAAGCAGAAGCTTCTTCGCTTCCTCCGCCAGGAAAATCAGCTCCTCCTCGACGTCCTCCTCCTCCACTTCCTCCTTCTCTGCCAGGAAAATCAGCTCCTCCACCCCCACCTCCACCCCCACCTCCACCTCCCCCTCCACCAGGAAGATCAGCTCCTCCACCCCCACCTCCACCCCCACCTCCACCTCCCCCTCCACCAGGAAGATCAGCTCCTCCACCCTCTCCTCCTCCACCTCCACCACTTCCTCTAGGAGGACGAGCCGCTCCACCACCTCCTCCTGGAGGACGGGCGGCTCCACCACCTCCTCCTGGAGGACGGGCGGCTCCACCACCTCCACCACCTCCGCCACTTCCTCCTGGAGGACGGGCGGCTCCACCACCTCCGCCACCTCCGCCACTTCCTCCTGGAGGACGGGCAGCTCCACCACCTCCTCCACCTCCTCCTGGAGGACGAGCCGCTCCACCGCCACCACCTCCTCCGGGAGGACGGGGTGCTCCTCCACCGCCACCACCTCCTCCAGGGGGACGCGGCGTTGCTCCACCGCCACCTCCCCCTCCAGGAGGGCGTGGCGCTCCACCTCCACCTCCTCCTCCAGGAGGACGAGGCGCTCCTCCTCCTCCTCCTCCATTGGGTAAAAAACCACCTCCGCCGGCTCTGAATGTTGTGACTAAGAAGCCGGCACCAGCTAAAGTTATATCACCGCCAAAGCAAAAACTTAAACCTTTGCATTGGGATAAATTGAAAGCTGCGCCTGACACATCAATGGTGTGGGATAATCTGGATAAATCAATGGAGTACGTTTCTCCACCTTCCCTATACTATTCTTTCAATTCCCCTCTTGGCTTACCTACTGTTGGTGGTCTTTATCATTAGGATAATTGAAGACTTATTTAGCACTTGCCTGCAATTTCCTTATTTTGATCAATTGTAGTTGATTCTGTTTATTTGTTGCGTTCCTGTAGGTTTGATACGGAGATGCTTGAAGCACTCTTCGGCCTCGCTGCCCCGGCTCCCAAAAAGGATGTGAAAAAGTCAGCGTCAGCTGCTAATATTGTGCAAGTTGCAATACTGGAAGCTAGAAAGGCTCATAATTTTTCTATCCAGCTTCGGGCTCTCGGACTTACTAAACACGAGGTTATTGGAGCACTTCTAGATGGCTCAGGTTCATTTGTTTCCTTTCCCCTTCCTATCATGAACTGTTTTGGTTTATTTAAAATCAATGTGGCATGGAATGGTTGAGAATATAAATTTAAGTTTGCCGTCAGGTGGTAGGAGTGGGATTGTGAAATTATGTTTTCAATGTGACTGAACCAAAGATTTCATTTTTGAGTTTGGTTTCGTCGTTCTTTTGTTTCGCTCTTGGTTTTCGATACTTTCATCATTCCTTGATCTTGAAATTTTTTTCACTTGAAGCAAGGAATTGGTTTTCATTTTCTTTAAGTACAATTCTGGTACGATCTTTTTTGTTAAGTAGTTACTCCTAACTTTATTTGTGCTGAATTTCTCTTTGTTGCTTGGTTGCGAAGGTGATGGATTAAGCATGGATGTTCTCGAAACATTAGTGAAGGTGGCACCGACCGCTGACGAGAAAAAGAAGTTCATGAATTATGATGGAAGTCTTCTAAATCTTGGTCCTCCAGACCGCTTTTTCCATGCCATATTGCATGTCCCAAATGCGTTTTCTCGTCTCAGCGCATTGTTATATCGAGTAAAGTATGAAGAAGAGATGCGACACGTTCGAGGAGCAATCAAAGTTCTAGAGGTCATTACATGATTTTTTTTCTTGTTTTGGTTTTTCTGTGTGGTTGATGGTGTAGATATTGAATCGGTCTATTGACAGTTTGTTGTACAGTAGGAAATCATTACCAGCTGCATGTGATCAGAAGTGGTATACTATATAAGGCGTTAGGTTCTAAATCATGTATTGCGTTTTTGATCCAGTCGGCATGCAAAGAGCTGAGAGGGAGCAAGACATTCAATAAGCTTCTGGCGGCTGTGCTGAAGGCTGGCAACAGCTTGAACAGGGGCACTTTCCGGGGGGATGCCCAGGCATTCAAACTTGATAATCTCTTGAAACTTGATGATGTGAAAGGAGTTGATGGAAAGACCACTTTGTTGCACTTTGTGATCAAGCAAATTATAAGTTCCGAGGAAGCACGAGTTGCAAAAATGAACATGGAATCTACTCCTTCAACTCCTTGTACTCCTTCAACTCCTCAATCACAGGATGCGTCTCAGTTTGAAGCTTCCTTTGCAAGCAATCATTTAGAGAAAGAAACTGGTGATGAAACCAAAAACATGGGAATGGGAGTAATATTGAGATTACCATCTGAATTGTCAAATGTTAAGATCGCAGGCGGCTTAGATGCTTCTTCTTTGAAGGCGGTTATGCAGAAGTTACTTAATGGATTGAATGATGTCAAAGATCAGCTACGGGAAGGACGCTTCGCTGCATCGCAAGGAGTGGAGGTTAAAGTCAAGGATAGTACCATAGATATCGCTGATGATTGTTTTCAGGCGGCAATGGAAAAATTTGTTGCAGATGCAGAATCGAGTGTTGCCGCTGCAGATCGTGATTTTACTGCAGCATTTGCAGCCGTGAAGAAGGTTAGTATTTACTTCTATGGTGAAGCTGCTGCTAAGGATGATTCACAACCTCTTAAGGTGTTTCTCGTTGTTCGAGAATTTTTAGGCGTATTAGAACGTACTTGCAAAGCCATAATGCAACCTGTGAAGGGAGGTAAAAGTTCTTAGTGTATTAATGCAAATAATTTCAAGGTGCACCACTATATAGTGCTGCCTGTACTTGTAACATATCATACCTCTGAAACTGTTGATCATAAATCACATTTTAAGTATCGTATTGGGCATGTAAACACTGCTGGTATCCTCTTTGTTTGTTTTGCTGTGAACAATGCTCTCCTTATTCATATTAAAATGCTGTAATAACTAGAATTAAGAGGTTTTTACTAGAATTATCGGTATGCCTGTGGAAAGAATTTCATGTATTCAGATTCCTTTTATTCTTGTTTTGACATATTAATAAAGGGTAAATTTGAATCGTATATTACAAGAGTGAATTACATGTTTCTATTCCCTATCAGGTTAAATCCTCCTGGTAAAAGCCCTGCAATTTTGAGAACAATGTCGGACATATTTGGATTAATGACAATGCCTAAGAGAGTCTTAATTTATAGGACACGAAAGGAGCGAGGTGAAAGATAGGAGTTCGTTATAATTGGGAATGATATCAAATTTCTTCAAATTTAACATTAGCCAAGACGCTATCAACGTTAATAATTTTACCTCATTCTTCTGTATGTAATGTTTGAATTTCGCCTGTGTTGATGACAAAATATTTTTATCTTTATTCTAAAAATATTTCATCCATGTATCCATAATAATTTTTGAAGAATATGGTAAATTTTTCCTTGTCAACATGCCGACTTTAAAATTTGTTATTTTACCCTTTACAACATGAATATGTTGCAGATTTGAAAGACTTCTCATTTTTCATATCATTGATAGAACGAACATGTATCAAAGTACGCAAACTTTAAGACACTTGGAATCACGATGACCATCCAAAAGCATAAAAAGTTAACTTAATCCTAATCGTAAAGTTTACACAACTCTTCTATCTACAAACAGTTACTTGAAAAACTTCATCAAGTACTTACATATAGCGATTCTTTTAAGCGGTACCGAAATCTTATCTAAATTGTATATTTGTGTACTATTATTCCTGAAAATGGAAATGTTGCAACAAAACAACGTATTAGAAGTTTTTATGAGAATTTTACAAAATATTTGTTGTCTTAAAACAGATGGTATTTATTTTCGTAGTCCATTCGGATTCCACCGTAACAAAGTGTAAAACTATCCATTTTCCTAGTTCAAGTATGACATAATCTTGTCACAATGTACAAAATGATTGCTATGCCTAACAATAGGATATCTCCTAATTACAAAATTATACTTTTAATATCCTCGTTCTAAATATATACCAACTCAAAAAAACTCATGATACAAAATGGAAAAAAAAAAAAAAAAAAAAACACCACACAACACAAAAAACACAAAAATACAAAAGCACTCTGTAACTGAAAAAGTCTATATGTACACATTTATTTATTACAGTGTCTTTGGAGGATAATTATTCTAACATTCAATTATAAATAGGGGAATGTTAAATAGACCAATACTTATACTAAATTTACTCACCCCTCATGAAAAACTCAAATAACCTCTAGATTTATTTCTCCACTACTAGATCCAAAACCAATGAAAACCATCAACATTCATCATAATTACCATTCTTCATCATAGGTAGATCATTTTAGTAAAAACCTTGGTCTAATTAACATTCCCCTATAAATATTCAATATTTTGATTAACAATTGCACAAGCCACATTCAAACTCACTACAAACTTTTCCATCCTTCAAGGCAACAATGAACAAACTCTTACAAACTACACCCAAAATCTATTGAATTTGTGGTAAAGAAATGCGCACCAAATAGACATTCAATCACACAAAACTCCAAAACAATACAAGAACAAAATCACAACACATGAGTCCCACGGCACATCCCGATCCAACAATGAAATCACCAATAAAGAAAAAGAAATTATCAAGGAAGAAAAAGAAGGAAGAATAAACACGGCAGCACGTTATCATCCACGAACTATATATCATCCAAATACATTCATCTATCGTCTAGCTTGAGTGGGTGTGTGTGTTCGATCAAAGGTTCCGCGAGGCTTTTGCAGGCAGCGCCATCGCTTCTTCTCCATCTCCACCCCCTCCTTTGGGTATGCTCCATCCCCCTTTCTCTCTTCCCTTCTTTGCACTCCCGTGTCCACTATCACTCTCTCTTTCACAACTACGTGGGACACACAATTACCCTTCAGCAGCAGTAGTAGTAGTACAAACACACACATTTAGATATACTTACGTTCGCACATACACACAAAGGGGAAGTAAGGCAGAGTGGCGTGGTCGGAGTGAACTGAGGATGGGGCTTAGTGTACCGCAGACCTTGGGTTTTAGGATTTAGGATTTCTAGCTGCGAATGTCATTGTGTGTCTTTGTTTACTACTGGTGGTGGAGTGTGTGAACCTTTTTTCTCTGCAGGGGGAATTGGGTCTGTGAGAATTCGTGCCCACAGGGTGAGATTTCAGGTTTGGGTTTTGGGGCTTGAGTGGAGGGAGCAGTGGGTGCTGCTATCAGGGTGTAGTTGGTGTGAGAATTGGTTTAGAATTCGAGACGGTTTGAGAGATTCCTGAGAGTTGGAAGTGACTTTTGGCGAGAACGGTGGTGGGTGGGGTGGCAGTGGAGATTGCGAGTTTGAAATGAAGGAAGGGGGTTTTGTGGAGAATATTACGTAAGTTGTAAGAGGTGCAAGTGGAACGCTTCTTTCTTTTCAGATATGGGAGGAGGGTGTTTTTTTCTTTTTCTTTTTCTTGAATGAATGGTAGAGCATTGCTTGGCACCGGGGGATGGGTTTACGGATAGGAATCGTCGTTGGGTGTCTCTTCCCTTCTCTACCTTCAAGCTTCCCGTGTGCAAATTATGAGGACACCTCAAGCGAGGCGGAATTCAATGGTTCAACATTGTATTGCAAATTTTGAATGAGTTCCTAGTTCATGGCTATGGGTGCCAGAACCCGGGCATCAGAGAATTGAGAAGTGACTGGGGTGCCATGGCGGGGACTACTTCAATGAATAGCTTCCATTCCCCCTCACTGTTTCAAAGAGATGGCAGAATCTCTCTATCGTGGCATTTTGGGACTGATGTTACTGGGTTCAGGGCAGCTAGCTACGCGAGCTGTAAGAGCCTCAAAATTAGAAAGAGGGTGGTGAACACTGCATGTTTTAGTGAAGACGGGGCTCAAAATGCCAGGGTTGCGAGGCCGCGCACGGTGGAGTCCTTGGAAACCACTTCACCAGGTACGAAGTTAATCATTTTTTTCTTTTTCTTGAATGGAAGAGAAGAAAAAGACATAACACACGAATTTATTTCCTTGCGTTTCTTCCACGAAGCAGTTTGCATTCTTCAGTTACAACAATGCAAATAGCGTCCGTTTGGCTGACCACTCTTCCTGGTAGGAGCTTCAACTGGGACTCAAATTTTCTGGCATTTTAGGAAAGAATACCCTAAGAAATGGAAAAGGACGCGTAAATTTTTAGTTCAATATTCGATCTAGAGAATGATTGGCACGAGCATCAATCTCCGATTGCTTTAAATGAATTCAATGCTACTTGAATCACAAACGTTTGATGTGTTGACAGACTCAAGCTGGGATGACGCGCGGCCTGCAGTGCAGCCTGCGAGAGATAGGGCTAGTACGCGGGAGAGGGGCAATTCGAATGGAAAAGCAGTGTCACAATATTTACAGAAACAAATTCAGAAGATGGGTGAAGAGGGGTCGCAACCTGGAGCTCAGGGCAAAGAAGAGGAGCTCATTAGGCCCCGAGAGTGCAATATCTCGACTACTTCCATTGCATCCAGTACGTTCTCTTGGCTACTCTCAATTTTTCTTCTGTGGCATAGAATGAAAATCTGTACTCATGTTTCCTGATTTGCTTCAGAATGTTCTTCAGAACCCCTATTCTCTCCTCAATGATGGAACTTGATTTTAGATTTGTACTCTTCCGTTTTAAGCACTAAGTTGAAGCAGTGAGCCTCCATGTTACCTGTCGCACAGTATGAGCCCACATGAGTGCAGGAAGTGGCTTGACATTTATAAAAGAGAGCAAACCTATATTTTTATGGCCGCAATGCTAATAACTCATTTCTTAGTGCAACAAACTGCGGTGCTCCAAGTACTTCAGAATGTTATGTTGCTCTTAAGCGGAATGTATGGATTCATACCAGTTATCCCTGTCACTTCAAGTAGATGGGATAAAATATTTGTAGCTTAATTGCTCTCCAGATTTCAACATATGAATTATGCATACTCAACTAGTACGTTCTCATTCTCTAAATGTGCTTATGTTCTCTAGCTATCTGAATGTGTTCGTATTTGGGGTTTGTGTCTTAATAGGAGCTGACGAAGGAGTATCCTCTCCCGAGAATCGCTCTTCACAAAATGTCAAGCGAACTCTTCAAAGAGTACTTGAAGCGCACGCTCTTCTTGCAAGCAAGTTGCAAAATGACCAAATGGAGACAACACCTTCATCCGCTTTAGAGACTGTTAAAGCAGATCTGGGTACTAAGAATACAATCAGTATGGCGCGCGAGGTATTGGCTGGGTTTAGTAAAGGATCGGTAGAAAATGATCGAGTAGGAGAACGTAGCATGGCGGATAATGGAAACGGAGTACAGGTTTGGGGAGCAAGTCTGACACGGAGTGGCCTGGCAAAACCTTTGACTGGCAAAGGAAATCTGTGGAAACGAGACCTTGGGACTGTCCATGGTTTGCACAGTTTGACTGATCAACCCTACATAGTGCAGAAGGCATGTGTCTTTTACCAAAAGCTTCACCATGATGCGATTACTGCTGTCTTATCCGTTGTTCGGATTTTTCTATTCACCATCCAATTTGTCGTGGAGCCAAGGTCCAGGCTTTCATTATTGATGGCCTGATGCTCACATTTTGGCCTCCTGGATTATCTCGTAATGCCAAGGAGTATATTACAAATTCTTGGAAGGTTTGGATACATATGCACGTCCCTCTAGATTTGTCTCGTTTGTCTAAAAATGGATTGCGTGTGTTCAGGTTGTAGGAGCATTATCAGGATTGCGGAGCAACAGCAGTGTTATAAACACCATGAATGGATACTTGGGGCAAGTAACTGTATCAGACTTACATCAAGTATTGTATGTGCTTGGGGATACGAAGGAGTGGCTCACTGCACTGCAGGTCTATACTGACTCTAAGCAGTAGAATAAAAGTGTATAACAATGAATTTGTGATAGCAGTTATGTTTCATTCGATTACGCATTTGCTTAGTATCAAATTAATGTGAAAGTTGATGGAAGATGAGGAACAGAGGAGAGGATGTGTAGGACGTGTCTGATGACGCTTTGTGCTTTTATTCAGGTGTTTCAGTGGATGCAAGCATTACCAGATCTGAAACCCGATGAGTTGGTATATCGAACTATTATCAATGTTTTGATAAATGCTCGGAGAATGAACGTTGCAGAAGCAGTTTTCGAGGAATTTGTAAAGAGTGGCATGTCGCCCAGCCACGATGATTATGTCATCCTCATGTCTGGTTATACCAAGTGCGGCAGCTTACAAAGAGGGATTGGAATACTTCAAAAAATGAGAGAAGCCGGAATTCACCCTCAAGTCTCGGCTTACAATGTAATACTGGAAGGGTGCACTAGGTCTACCCGAGGTGATTCTCTCTACCCCCTACTACTCCTCTAGCTGTGTGTGCGTCCCTTATGAATGCCAGTCAGGATTTACAAGTTCTATCTTCTTCTCTCTCTCTCTCTCCCTTTTTTTTTTTTTTTTTTTTTTTTTTTTTTTTTTTTAATTTATCAATTTCTTTTAGCTTTAAATTTCTCGTAAACTTTGTCGAACATGTCAAATTTTTGCATGAGATATAACCTTAGAATCTTCAACTTTAACATGTGTCATATGAGATTGGAGAATGAGGGAAGAGATTTTGGTGATGTGAGGTTATTTTAGATGCACAAATAAGTTCCTAGAATCTTTATGAGATAACCTTAAACTGGCCTTACTGATCACTTTGTAAATTTTTTTTTGTCGTCTCAAGGATGCCGTCCTTTTCACCAATTAGCCGTTCTATTTTTATCATAAAAATGGAGGACCTCTTGCTTTGTCGCTTTGGACGTTGATTCTATAATGCGCGAGATTCCTCATTGTATTTACATTCGTGTTGTGCTGCTGTGCAGGCTTGGATATAGCAATTCAGATTAGGGATCAAATGAAACTGGAAAATGTGGCTCTGGATCGAACATCTTACACATTCATGCTCAGCATTTACAGTCGCAAGGGATTGTACAAAGAAATCATTGACACATTCGAACAAATGCGTTTAAGCAGTTGTGTGCCTGATAGGATCCCTTGCCACATAATACTAACGGCTCACAGCAAATTAGGTGCGTACTGTTTCATGTCTTTTCAGTATTTTCCTTACTGCAGAATTGCTCAAGTCCAATACAACTGCTGATATTTTTACTGACGGACAGTTGTTCTTCTTATGTACATGAGCAGGCGATATAAATGGCATGATGGAAGCTCATAGAATCTTGATGGACATGGGGCTGCAGCAAGATTCAGTGACATTCAACATAATAATGAATGCACTGAACCGCGTGGGCCGTATTCGAGATGTTGACCGATATTGGGCTCTCATGAGAATGGTTAGTAATTGAGTTGCAATGTTTTGATATGGTTGATAAGTCCGTATTATGCAGCTGCTTGACGTTGTGCATGAAATCAGATTAGCAATTCAGAGCTCAATTTGTGCTGTCTTTCTCGAGTCATGCTAGCCTAATTGGTTTATGAATTCGTCCGCATCGGGAATCTGAGTTTCTCATTCCAAACCATAAGGTTGGCGTTTGTATTTTGCAATGGGTAGAACCTTTTGATGAATTCGTTTGGTTAGTGGAGTGAGAGGGTTCTTTGCTCACATAATTTTCGCTTGTTGCAGGGCCGCATTGTACCGGATCTGACGACTTGCTCCATCCTCATCAATGCGTTCGGCAGAGCCCGAGACTGGCACAAAGTTGACTTAGTTTTAGCAGAAATGGAAACATATGGGATAAAAGCAGATCTCATGATTTACAACTCCCTTATTAGTGTTTACGGCAAAGCAGGGCTCTTTTATGAAGTTGAACTTGTTGTCAAATCCCTTAGAGCTGAAATTGCTCGTCGTGAAGATCTAGGTAATAGTTCCTTAGCATTTGATCTAGTTACATATAATACATTGTTGGATGTCTATGGAAAGGCTGGCCGGCTGGATGATGTCATCTACTGGTTTGGTGAGATGAAGAAATCTGGAGTGCAACCTGATGTGCTGACATTCGACTCACTCGTTAATGCCTATGGCAAAGCTAGCCATTATGATGGGGTTCGTGCCGTTTCTCCTTTCAAACTCGACTTCTACGTTAGTAGTTTTCCAGAAGAGGATAGTTTTGTGGCTTGAAGCTTGGGATTTGAGGGTCTTGCGACTCTATCCTTAGTCTGGTACCCTCTTTCGTTCACAGTCTTACTTTTTCTCCAACTAAAGTTTAAACTCTAAGTGGAGACTTTACTCGAGTCTACTCTAAGGTTTAACTGAAAAAGACTTCACAGATAACTCTAATGGATGGCCGCTCCTGATCCTGTCATACTCTTCTTTCTTGTTGCTTGTGATCATTTCAGGTGAAGGAGGTGCTGGAACTGTTTAGGAAGTATAACTACAAATCCGACCTAGTCTTCTACAATACCCTGCTCTTCATGTTCGGCAAGGGTGGGCACTACGCCGATGCATGGAAGATTCTTGAGGACATGAAAGCAGCAGGATTCATGCCAACTTCAGAAACCTATAATTCCCTTATTCTTGCATTTGGTCGTGGCAGTATTCAGCAAGGTCTTCAAGTATTTGCGGACATGATAGCTTCCAATGTAGATGTAAGCTTCTTCAGCCACTTCTTATGCTAGTTTATCATTTCCTGCTTGTGTCTCTTTACTGAACCTACAAATTTTACTGAATTAATGTTCATTTCTTTCTCTATCCAGCCCAACATGGTGACATTCAGGCTTCTAATGGACATACATGCGAAAAAAGGCTTGGTGGACGAATGCTTGAACATCTATTACGAATCTCAGAAGTACCCCGACTGCAAGTATGACGAATCGCTGATGAGCGCTGCCTTGAGAGCATGTTGCAACATGCGGTGTATTGAAAAAGCTGAGGAGATCGTCATGTCCGCTGAGGCTGATGGCATTTCCATCCCTGTTGCTTGTTATAATTGGCTTATCCTCGGTACAAACTCATCACCAGTTTTATCATCATAGCTTTCAGGCAGTACTATTTTGTTTACAACTCTGATTTCGAACTGCATCGTGGTCTTTTGTGGTATTTATAGAGTTGATTCTCGCGTTACTCTTTGCAGGTCACGGGAAGAAAGGCCAGTGGCAGGAGGCTGAAAATACTTTGGAGAGAATGAAAGCAAATGGCGTTAAACCCGTTGCTCAAAGCTTCTCCTTTCTCCTTGAGGCCTACAGTTTAAGCGGCCAAATTCCGAAGGGTGAAAAGCTCATTGTCAAGATGAAAGAAGAGAATCTCATTTACGGAATTGCAGGTCATAACTCCTTGCTACGGTTCTACATGCGCGCCGGCGATATAGGCTCCATAATTCAAACCTACGAGACTTGTCAAACTCGCGGACCGAAGCCGAACCAAAGCTCTTTTGTGCCAATGATTGAAGCCCTTACCAAAGAAAACACCGTCGACGAGCGTTTCTGGGGCATTGCCCAGGACCTAGAAAACGCGCCATTTGATGTCCACTTTGCCATTCATGGCGCTCTCCTCTCTGCGCTGGGGCGATGTGGACAGAGTCCCGACGCAGACCGTCTATTAGGAATCCTCAAACGGCTCGGCTGCTCCCCAGATATTTGTAATTTATTTGAGGAAGGCGAGGCCGCACAGAGCAAGCTTTCTGGCGAGGAGGCCTGGAAAAGATTAGCAACTCTATTCAACTCCTTAGAGCAAGAAGGCGTCAATATGGAAGCAGAGCGAAACTTCCACAATGCATTAATTGACGCTTTGTGGAGGTTCGATTACAAATTGCGAGCTCTCAAGGTCACCGAGCTGAGCGTCTCATTGGGTGTTTTTGGATCCAATGTCTGTCAATGGAAGGATTGTTGGAGTTTGGACGTAAGATTTGCCGGCACTGGCGCCGCCCAAATCCTTCTACTGACATGGCTCTCAGGGATTCGACAAGCTATCAAATCTGGCGAGAAAATGCCATCGAAGGTTAAAATTTTGCTTGCATGGGAGTGGCAACTTAGGACTGGTGAGAATTGGGGTGCCCGCGACGGAGTCTCGGCTCATTTGAATGCTTTGAAGGCGCCATTCGTGTTGGTGAAAGAAGGGCAGGAGCTCGAGGCATCTGTGAGCACTCTCCGGAAATGGTTATTGAAGGAGAAAACTGCGCAAGGGCTTGTATTCAACAGCAAACTGTAATTGATGTCCTAACTAGTTCAGAGCTGAATCTATTCTAATTTTTTTTTTAAAATAAATTAAAAGTCCCTCAATTTGCCCAGGGCATGGCCTAATTTGTTGTTTAAAGCATACTGTGTCAAGTCGTCCATCTGAGCCTGCTCGTTGAGTTCATCTTCGATCTCATCTCTAGCATCTGTGATTGTTTGTGAATGAGTGAAATCACTGGAGTTCTTGCTGCAAGTTTCCCAAGTTGGAGACGCATGGTCCGAAATCCTCTGTTGATCTATTTGGTTCGTCGTTGTAAATTTGACATAAATCTAGTGATACCTGTATAGGAACGGCGGATTATTCCGATCAAACGACTAGGATGTTCTTTTCTAGGACACATGAAGCAAGTTTATCAGTGTAATTTACTTTTGCAATGGCTTGTGAGTTGTTGCTTTGGGTCTGATATTTCTAAGTTGCTATCAAAATGTAGGATGCAAAGGACATCAGTTATTTCAGGAAGATACATGTCAACGTTTCTTGTACCTAATTGTAGCTATATATATAGAGGACTTGAGTTCCATCTATTAAGTGATGGAAATACAGGTTCCCCTCATTTCAAGAATTTCTAATGTAGCTTTACTTTGTGGCAGTTGTAGCTATCTGTGATCTTTTGTGATTTCCTCCAATGGCGAGCTATATTGTCCTTTTGAAAACATGAAAGTAAATTTTTTCAACCAAATTCTGGAAGTCAATCTCAACATTTATTTGCAAGAATTTGATTGCATTTTTGTGCATTTTAAAGAAAAATAAACATGTGATTTGTAGATATGTTTCAATTAATTCTTGTTCCTTCAAATAATGTGTAGGATTTGTTCAATTTTTTCATTGAGAAAATTTAGATGGTTTAAGTTATGGTTTTAGAACTCCAAGAATCCCACAAATTAATATTCATAATTTACAAAAAAAAAGTTGCATACAAGCTAGGAACTAAAAACAATATATAAGTTACAATTCAATTTTGATTATAACAACAATTTTATTCTAAGATTGAGTTGAAAGTGCTTTATATAAGAAAAAAAATGAGAAATTGATAATAATGTCAAGATTCATGGAATGCAATAGTATTAACCTTGTTAGAACCAGAAAATATTTCATTCATTTTTCAAACTCAAATTTTCCTTTCTAACTTACTTTATCAACTTGTGTGTAATATTACTTTTTTTTTATTGATTTATTTATTTGTATCATGTCCCATTTAGAAAAGTCACTCTCATGTGGTTCTTAACTTAATGTCACAACACATGCAGCATGCTCCAAATTTAGGCACAGGTAACTTCTTCAGCAAACTTGAAATTTCCTTTGTATATGCTTCCATGCATGACTAAAAATAAGTTAAAACTACTTCAGATGTATAGTTATTGATCAGGACAGAGTGCAATTGAGCATGACTTTGACCCAAGAAACATTTTTTCTGTTGCCACCTGAAAAAGCCTTCTCCTCTGTGCTGGGTCATACAGAGAACCTTGTTGATATCATGTTCTCTAGTCTGGATAAACTGGGGAAATGCAGAGCCTCAAAATAATCTGGTCACAGCAAGCATGCCAGGAAACACTCCCTATTCATGATTCATAACTTTTCCCTACTTTTACTCACATACACACTTACATACACATACATACATTTATATCCAGATTTATAAAAAGGACTATGAAGTAGTAGTGGAGCTCAGGCTACTAATATGCTGTGTGCTTTAGAGGCTCAAATTCATAAGACTTTACTCTAACATTTGTACTTCCCAGTTCAATTGGAGACAAAAGCAACAATACAAGGTTAAGAACAGAACTGCCCAAATAATGACACCAGTTCATATGTAAAATAGTTCACAACAACTTGCATTTGTAAGATGACTCACAGCAAGTTCATTATGTCTCACCATGCACACATAAACCTCACATTCCTCCACACAATTCTAAAGCTCCACTAGTTCACCCCCTACAATCTGCTGGAGCCAGTATCCAGAAAGAAGCTACCATTCATAATATGTCACCTGTCAGTCAGTGTTCAGAGGATGGAACCCAGAAAATATATAAACTGACAGCTTTAGATTAGTTGTGCAGGTGTGAAAACGCTTCCACTAAAAAATCAAATCATAAATATATATATATATATATATATATATTTGTACGTGTACAAAACTAACTTCACACAATTAGGTAACCTCCCCTTCCTGATTTGGCTGCCATCACCAGCAAGATCCATAACACATACCAAAGGTTAACAATCCTATCAATTGTGCATTTTTCTAAAACATGGACACATAATCCAACCATGAGGAGGAGCTTTTTCAGATAGACCCATGAGCCTACTGAGCTCATTCTTCAATAAATTCTCAGACATAACCAGAGACAAGGATGATGGGCTCACTGGATCTCCAGCTGCTCAAAGAACATTCAACCATAGGTCTTCTTAGTTGGCTCACTGATTGATTCAAGATTTTTATTTAGTAGAAGTTTGTCTTTTGGAAATTCTTTTGAGTAATAGATTTTATTATCTTATTGGTTTTATTTAGGTGATAAGATTATAGACAATGTAAAGAACTAGTAACTATAAAAAGTACTATAATATATTTAGATTGTTGCTAATGCCACTAGAGTTTTTGCTTTTGCCACCACAACTTACCATTCACCACATCATTATAGTTTTCACTCCACACTATACTTTATAGAACACTAAAATGCACATCCATACAAAATGTACACTTTGTCCATTGTGGTGGCAATAGCAAAAATTGTGGTGACATTAACAACATCTTATATTTAATATGAATTACAATAAAAAAAAATTATCAATAAAAAAATCTATAATCAATTAATATTTTATTATTATTTGTGATTGAATAAATAAAATGGAAAATATGTATTAAAAAGATAACAAAAAATTACAATCACTAAGATGGTTTTATACACCAAGATTATATTATTTCCTTAAAGCAACCAAAATCAAATACAAAAATATATTTTTTTCTTCTAATTTTTAAAAATCATTAGTATATGTTTCATGTTATTCTTTTGAATATCTAAGGCTAGAAAAAATCACTATGCTTTTCTAAATTATTATATAATTTTTTACTTCTATGTTGTATATTTTTTAAATAAAAATACTGGTCTAAAAAAAATAAAATTATGCATAACAAATAAAATATAATGCACGTGCAATTCCCTTATTAATATCTTACATCAAATAAATCTTAAATTAGACATAATATTGTTTTGAATAAAATGGTATGTCCTTGGTTTGTAAATTATATTGTAATAAGAAATTATGTATTAGTGTAGTGGTATCAAAAGCCAATAATAATAACAACAATAATAATATAACAATTATAAACATTATGAGAGGGATATCAAAGACCGACATCCAAAGGAATCTATAAAAGGAAAGCGGGAGAGGGCAGCCCTAGAAGGAGCCAATAATCGGAAAAGATAAGAAAAAGAAAATACACGAGAAAGAAAAGTAAGCGATGGAAATAAAAGCACAAAGCCGAGAAAGACGAGGAAAGAGGGCCCATCACCGCACGTGGATACCGAGAGAGGCGAAGAGGATAACTCTGTTCTTGACCTCTCGAGGCGGAGCAGGATGAGGAGCGATGGCGAAGAGGACGAGGAGGACGAGAATGGAGCTGGAGCTGGAGCTGATGGAGGAGGAGGAGGAAATGGTGGCCATGGAGCTCACGATGCCGCTCATCATGCTTCCTCGTGTTGCTTGCCTCACTCTCAAACTCTAATTCTCTCTTGCTGCGTCATAGTCGTAGTTATCGTCGTCATTGTCGGAACATCACGCTTCGTCGACGCCCACGTCCCTGGAGGTAAGCGGCAAGCGCATCAATGAACGCCGTTGGCACACGTCCACGTCTCTTCCCTTTGCCACCCATGCAATTTGCGTGGTCCGCCGCTGCTGCTGCTGGTTATGGGTCCTGTCTCTGGGTCTGATGTTTTGTTGCGAACTGTTGTTGTGATGAGGATATTCCTGAAAGGTGGAACCATTTGTGGGGTTTTGTTGGGTGCTGTGCATTGAGCGGCATGTCGTCGATGCTATCCTCTTCCTCTCTTGGTGTGCCATATATTAGTTTTTTCCTTAATCTAGTTGAGGTTGTGGTGGTGTCCTCGTGTGGTAGGAGCATATTTGTCTGTGAAGAAAGTGGAAGGGTTTTATTTTTCTGGTTTTGATTTTTTAGGGACAATAGAATTCGTTTGGATAACGAACCTGGCAAAGTAAGAAGTGCGATGGGAATTTTGATGTCAAACGGAGTCAATGTCTTGCCTTATCGTTTTCAGAGCTTGCAGAATAGGCGCTGGGCTCTTGTCTTCAACTTGTTATAAATTAGTCACAAATGCCTTCGTGGATGAGTTGTCCTTTTGCTGTTAGTACTGTCACAAGCGCCGCAGGGTTTGAGAGCAGACCCTCGTGGGTTGAGGGTCACTATGTAGTCGGTGGGGTTAGAGTGTCAAGACTCTGGGGGTGGCCGTCATAAACATCTGAAGCATATATCTTTATCCTGTGTGAGTCGCCAAGGTTGTAGTTGCTGGATCTCGATGTCGTTTATAGTAGAGGAAACGCGGTGTGGTTGGCTGCATTTATTGCAATTCTCCCATCGGTAATATTAGGGTTGTCATACGCGAGTGCTTAGAGTGTGGGGCAAGTTTGGAGTACGGAGAAGTGGAAGAGGTATGTTCTCTGACGATTGAGGAGGTGTGCCTTTTGAGCAGATCGGATTTACACCTCTGCAAGAGCGGTATTGGGAGGCGGGTTTAGCGGTAGCACAAAATGCGTTCTTAGGTGAGGGCTGCATCCTTAAAATGGAGGAAGAAGACGGTACTGGGTACAAACGTAAGTCTGTTGTGGGAACCGATCTTTTGGCGCCGAGTTTTTCGCAAATGGCTGTTACGGAGGCTAGTAATGTAGACTTAGTAGGGAAGTTGAAGACCTTGGGCGCTGGACGAAAGAAGTTGATGACCAAGTATTTCGATATCGAAGAGGTTGAGAGTGGACCAATTTTTTCCGAATATTTTGCTGTGTCGCTGGCCTTTGTAGCATTGGGGTCCATGATTCGAGAAGCGAACTTGAGAATGCGAAGAAACGATGCAGATTGCGTTGATGTTGTGCCGGCGAAACTGCAAAGGATGGCACTGGATTCCATGCTCAAGTCAGCTATGGAGAGATTGCGAGGACTTGCGCGCAGGACCCAGACCTTGGAAGAGAAAGTCCGGGACAGGTCTTACATGGAAGCAGCCTTTCAATTCGAAAGACTAGAATTTTTGAAGCGAATTAGCCGTTTAGAAGCTACCATCGCCAAGCACGTTGAGGCGGAGGCTGCGTGGCGAAAGGAAAAGGACGAGCTGAACAAGCGCATATCGGATGTTGATGCTCAAAGAGGCTATTTCTTTAAGAAAATGGGCGAGGCGGAAACCTTGTTGGCAGACTTGCAGCGGCTTCGGATGGAGGATGGGAAAGCCAATGCAAAGTTGGTAGAAATTTATGCTGGAAGAGAGCAATCTTGGAAATCAGAGAGAGCAAAGTTGAGACATGAGATAGATCTTCTGAAGGAGAGGCTGAGCAGGATCCTGACGCAATCACAAGTAAAGCCCTCTCAGTCCTTCGAAGTAGCTGCAGAAGCCTTGAGAATGAGAAACTTGAAGCGCAGACCCAAGGAAATTGTGAGGGACAAAGTGATCAGCGAAAGAGAGTTCAACGCTCTTGTCGGGGTTGAACAATACCACAAACCTGAAGCAGATCTGAGTATGTTGCTACCTGTATCTAACGTCTCCTATTGTTGCTAGCTTAAGGAATCAAGAATGACCTTTAGGTTCCATTGATTGTTCTGTGAATGCCCAATGATTACTGTACCTTATTTCCAAAAAATATATTTGATGTATTCGGCGCCGATTTTGTTTATCTTAATAGTTGAGCTTGATGCTGAGAATGCAGGGTCTCGGAATGAGCTTCATACGGCTGTCACTGATCGAAAGGATTCAGGTGGGGTAGATGTCCAGGAGCCGTTGGTCCAGAATCAGGAAATGGAAGATGAGTTGGCAATCATCTTGAAACGAGTTGGAGCAATGAAGAGAAGGGGAACCTCCGGAAGCAAGCTTGATGAACTGCTCAATCAAGCCAAGGGTAAACCTGAACTTAAACGCTTAGGATCTTTCGAACAAGCTCCAAGGAGCTTATCTATTGACAGCACACTTCTGTTACGATCTGATGCTAAAAACATGAAGGATGTAGAAATTGATGACGAGGGTGCTAAAGATATTTGGCAAGCAATCGAGGTCCAAGAATGTAAAAATGTACAGGGAAGCAGCAATTTTGTTAATGAAGAGAACGCGAAAAGCGAATCATCTCGTAGCAGTCTTCTCAACCCTACAGATTTAATTCATGAAAAACTTGATGCCCCAGAGACCAATGCAAGCCAAGAGCAGAGCAGTGCAGCTGTAGGGTCGACTGTTGCAGAACACGATCGAGCGTTACAAAACACTGTAGAAAACGCCAAGCTTACATCAGATCCGATGGCTATTAATTCGGTCGAGGATGCCATTGATCTGTCTCCTAATGAAGGCTGTTGGGTAGTATCATCAGAGGCCACGAACAGTGTGGGAACGGAATTTAAAGGGTACTTTATCACAACTGCAGAGTCGAGCTGCGGTGACGAAATACCGGTTACTCTCGCCGATGTTCCAGTTGGCCAGGGTTTCGTTGATAGTCTCAAATTGTTTGAAGATGACGTGAACAGTGGGATTGTTTTAGACAATCCCACTTGTACTTCTCCTACGTCTGATGGTAACCAACTGGATGTAGTTGATGATGAGCCTTCTTCAAGTTTTCTGGACCACTTGGTTCAGCTACAAGCCTCAGCTGAAGAGATTGATCGCTGTCAGGTCAATACGAGTGATGATGCAGGGTTGCCGTTAACAAGAATGCGGAATATCGATGTCACAGAAGTTTCTACAGGTACAAGTTGCCAGGAGACTGAAGAGCTTCAAGGTAGTTCTCAAGAAATGAAGGAACCCAGAGAGGAGGACTGTGAGGTGTCACCTCAAGCCTCATCCATCAAGTGCGAAACAAGTAGTCACAAGGGTGAAACTGAAGCAAGCGACATTGCCCAATTCCTGCTAAATGACTCGGTCGTCTCTAATGGAGAAATGGATACTTTGGCAGAGGTTCCTTCGTCAAATGATGTGGACGAACCTGCTGATGCTTCGTCTGGAAGGGCTCAAGCAGAAGATCCAGTCTCCACTGTTGAAACTGGCGACGATGTTGCAAGTCTCAAGCCAGTCACTGAAACTTCGGAGCGGCTAGCAGACAGTCCTCTCCTGCAAAGCCCAAGTGCTACATAGAGCAGTCTTCAACCCTGCATGATGGTGTTCTCACCCATCTTTTCCAGGTGTTCGTAAGATTTCTAGAGCCTTCGTCGTCGCCGTTGGCTGGCAGCCTTTGGCGATATAATTTTATTTCTGATTTTCTTTTCGGAGGAAAAAGAACTTGATATGCTCAACATGGGGCAGCTCACTTCTGATTATCTGTTTTATCATTCTAGACTCCTAAATGGTTGCTCTGAATGTGAAAGGTTGCGGGTGGCCTTTTCAGATAATCGACCAGAGAGGTGTGAATCAAGTTCTTGTCCGCAGTAACAATCTGAAATTGGACGTTCTATTGTGTCCGTCTGTGTCAAATGACCATGATTGAAAGCTGTTGCTAAGTAACATAGTATGTCCTGCATGGCAAATCTTTTTATTGTAGATGAGGGTCGTCAAGTAGATCCGGCATAAGTGTAGACAGAGAAAAGCAGGGTAAATACTGAAGCTAAGCGCTTGCTCAGTCATTGTGACTGTAGAAATGGTTACTGTGAAAGGTCAACCCTACTAACCTCAATAAACTCCGCATTGTACTATTAGAAGACTTCCATATTCTTGCTTTCGTTCTGCTGGAGTTGCACATCTAACTTGGACAGTAGAGCCACCACGGAAATGATTGTCTTAACGATAATGTCAAATATTTCAGGTTGCCAACTGTAGTATGGTAAGCTCCAAAATCCATAATGAATTATCATGGTTTCTCAACTTAAGCCGCCTTCCGCAATTGGAGGTATGTTCATTGAAATGTGTAAATATCTGATTGGAGAACTTTTCACAAAGTAGGTGATTGAAAACGTATAATCAATCAACCAGTTTTTCGAAGTTCAGTTACTAGCTTCTAATTTCGAGCGATGTCTCCAGACTCTTGTGTTCGAGCCTGGCATGGCCAAGTCCATCCACCACGCTCGTGTTCTCATCAAGCAACGCCACATCATGGTCGGCAAACAAATCGTCGATGTCCCCTCTTTTAGGTTCGCGTTGACAGTCAAAAGCACGTTGACTTTGCTCTGTCAAGCCCACTTGGTGGCGGAAGACCTGGCAGAGAAGCCCAGAACTTGAAGGCTGCATCCCAGAAGGCATCTGGTGGTGACGACGATGAGGACAAGGATGACGAGTAGATCTTGAATTTACCAGTAGCTGAAGGGGTTCACCAGGCTATTTGTGTGATTGATGAATAAGCTAAGAAAAGCAGTTGATTCTCTTTCCTGTGGGAAGGAAAAAAAGAAAGATATAACAAAGTGTTTGAAGTAATGATCTTAAAAAATAATGGGCAGGATGAGTTCAATTAATCATAATTTTAATTTATTTTTAGTATCTGTTGACTCCTTGCAACATAAACATAAATGTTGCTTCAGCTGTGATTAGATGTCGTATTGTGCATGAGAGTAAATTGTACACGTGTACATGCCGCGCATTTTCAGACGGCCACAGGTCGCGCATTGATGTCGAAGGGGCAGGGTTCAAAAAGAATTAAAGTTTTTTCCAACGTTTTCCTGAATAAATGTTTGCTACTAAACTGAATCGCCGACCGTAAGAGGGTATCTATTCATAGGAGAAGTCCCATGGTGCCAATCCCTATCGTTAGCTGTTAACACTGAAAGTGAAAACTTCAGAAGTGGCACCAATTGGAAGCCGCGCCACCATAGCCTTTTGCCTACCACTACAGCTGTGGCAGCAACTGCAGTCTGTGCTTATAAACGGCTGTTAATCTCATCTCAGGATACTTATGCCTCGTGTTGCACCTGAGCGATGGTCATGTAATTCAGGTTGATGTCGCTTGTATTCCTCAGGTCAGTGACTGTAGATCGCAATTTGAAAAGCGTTGGAGAACGTCATCAAATTTGCTGTTTTGTGAGAGTGCACGAGTGTAAGTAAGCGTTTAAGCTGAAGCATCAATCCTGGACCTGATAATCTCTGGTCGTGTTCTAGTTTTGTGTCCAGGTTGATAGTGCACAATCCTTGTTTCTGTGAGTGTAGTTTGCACTTGAATTGGGCTAGCTTGAACTTACAACTTGAATTGCAAGTTGCACTTACAACGTGATTTGCAAGGCAAATCCGTCACAATGAGCTCAGACCCGCTGCCAGAATATCTCTCTCTACAACCCAGGTTGCGATTCACGTCTGATGAGATCGACGATCCCTTCTACGGAGCGCCCCCGGGAACCTGGCCGAGATGCGCCCTAAGTTCCTATTGAAGCTGAGCTCCACCAGGCCAATGCTGGTGCTGTGGCACGACGTTTTTAATAGTCTAGGAACATTTGATTCGCTTTCATTGATTGCCACTTGCAGCATTGTAACGTAAGCTAGCTTTGAGTCTGATGTGGAATAATTACCAGTCAGGTTATAGGTTGATTTTTTTTAACTTTTCGAACTTTACGCATCCTCTTCTCTTCTCCTTTCGTTTGATTTCTCTGCACATGTTGAACTTAAAAATCTTACTTACCTCTCATATTGGCCTTTACCAATTTCTTCTCCTCTAGTACGTTTTGTTTGTGTGGTTCTCTGGGATATTCTTTTGCTGTAAAATCCATTGTGGCACCATTCACCGTCAATTTTTGTGTTCAGAATAGCAAAATACTATGATCAGTAGAGGTTTAAATTATTTGTTTCTACACAGCACTAAAAACAATACCTCATCTTGAAATCAAAAAGTGTAAGTGTGATACACAAGGTTTTGAAAAAAAAACATAAACCACAAAATACATTTTTTGTGAGGACTGCTTATTTTTCATGTCTAATTTATATAAAAACGAAATGGCTTCTATCCCATATTTCAGATAAAAGAATGTGGCTCTTGTGATAATGTCAAAAAGTTTCTGTAAACATCTATGAAGTGATTTTATATTTTGCATCATTCCAATTAAAGAATTTATATTAAAAAATAAATTAATATTGATAATAAATGCCAAGAATATTACATAATACTTATGATTATAAAAATACTTTTTAATAGCTAATTTTTAAAAATATAAAAATGAAAGATATATACAAAAGATATAAAAATGAAATATATATATATATATATATATAAAATAATGTGATTCAAACTTCAAGGAAAGAATCAATTCCTTTTACAACCAAATGCCTAATGCATTTCAAGTTTGATTAGTATATAATATAACATATTTGATGAATCCAACATGAAAGCTTAAGTTAGAAGGTGTTTTGTTTTGTTTTGTTTTTTTTATTTTGGTTAAACTATAGAGATAAAAGATAAGAATTGTTGGAGGTGGTGGAGGTAGAAGACCAACTTGTCTTTCAAAACGAGATGTTACAAATAGAGTATTGACTTATCTACCACCAATAGGAGATGGAAATAGAAGACCAACTCATCATTTAGAAGAGGTGGTCAAGGAGGATAATTAACTTGTCTTCTAAAATGAGGTAGTGGAAGTGGATGATTGACTTGTCTTCCAGGAAGACATTGTTGTATTATGTGTATTCTTACTTGAGAACACACCAAGTGCCTAGTTGTAGAAGGTAAGTAGAAATGCAAGAACAATCTTATCAAGTCTAATATAATCTTAAATAATCTTAAGTAGACCTTAATGATTCCGATCAAATTTTGATCAATTCAAAATAAATTTAAAAGAAGTTATAAAAGTAATACAAAGAAGTTTCACATTAATCTCAAAGAAAAATAAAAATAAATCTTATAGAAATATAAAAATAAAACTTTAAAGAAATATTAGAAATAAAAATATTTTAAAGAAATAATTAAGAATCCTAAAAAAATACTAAAAATAAAAATTCTAATGTAATTCCAATTAAAATCCTAATTGAACCTTAATCAAATCTTAAGTCAAATCGTAATTGAAACCTTAATTGAATCTTAACTAAATCCTATATCAAACCCTAATAAAATCCTAAATAAATCCTAAACCATATATAAATCCTAGACAAATCTTAGTCAAATCCTAATCAAGTTCTAAACCAATCTTCAAGAAAATCCTAATCCTAATAAAATCCTACACCACATCCTAAGTTCTAACCAAATTGTAAAAAAATCCTATAGCAAATTTGAACATCAATAACTAATGATCAAACCATTGATATCAACTCAAATTTTGTATACTTCTTAATATCTTAGTTAGAAAAAAATACAAGAAAGATGAAATCAATACCAAATACCAATTGAGAGAAATGCAAGATAATCCAATCAGGTATTAAGTAACCTCCTATTCCAATCTAGATGTTGAACTTCTAATGCCAATATCTCCTTCTTAAACTATTGAATTGCTCTAAAATTTTACTAATTTTTTTGAAAATTGAGTCTAGCATCCAAACAAAAATATTTCACTTCAATCTAATTGACAAATTGCTGAAGAAGTTAAAAACACTCATTGATCTTCAAACTCTAATTTTTGAGATCTCAATCTAAAAATACCTTCATATACTTCTATCTAACTATTTGATTAATCTCAAAACTTATACACATATTTACAAATAGCACACCAACATACTATCCAAATTTCATCCATACATATATTACAAAATTTAAGAAAATTTCAAATTTAGAAACATATTTTTATTTTTTAAAATCTAAACCAATTGAGAACATCATTAATTTTGAAAATTCTTCAAAAACTCAATATTGACTCAATTGATATAAAACTAATGCCAAAAAACCTTTTCTCAAGTTTGCTCTCAAATCTAATTCTTTGATCTACCAAAGAATTCTAAAGTCACTATAAGAGCACAGTTTTGTGCCTTACGGATTGTTTTTGATTCAAGTTGACAACTCATCCTCTCTAGGTATCAATTCTTGGCTTCTTGAGGTAATATATATATATATATATATATATATATATTTTTCATTAGCTATATTATATCATGACAATGTTTTAGAAGACTTGCTCATCTTCCAAGAAAAAGTAATTGACATAGTAGATCAATGCGACTTATGAAAAGAGATGGTAGATGTGAAGCACAAGCTTGTCCTCTAGGAGGATATAATAGAATTGGAAGATTGATTTATTTTCTAAGAAAAAATAACAGTAGAGGAAGAATAGCTTGTTCTCTAGAAAAATATTGTAAAGATAGACAACCAACTTGTCTTTTAAAAAGAAGAAGAAGAAGTAGAAGACCACATTGTCTTCTAAAAAGAAGTAGTCAAAGTGAAAGACCAAAATATCTTCTATATATCACACACATATATATATATTTATTCTAATATTTATTTATATGATTAAATAGAAATAGATAAAAGTATATTTATTTCATAATATTTTTTAAAGAAGCTTTTTAGAAGCTTTATAGATGTTCCTTTGATTTTTCATGTATTTGTAGTTGATTGGTAGATTATAAACTTAATCAATAAATTAACCACATATTAATAGCTTATGAAACAAGCTAATTATATAGTGCATATAGAAAAAATTTATCTTGTAAATTAAGATACATGTTTTGTAAAGTCAACACGTTTTTGGAAATCCTAAAGGACATTGTGTCACGGACATACTCATGTAAGCTAGTAATTACATATATAAATAGATGGAAGTAAGTAAAATTAGATAAAAATAAATTAATTCTATAATATTTAATATGAAAGCTTCTTAGAAGCTTCATAGATACTGCTTTGACTTCACAGGTGTCTTTAATTGACTTTTTGGATTAGAAACGTGGTCAATAAGTTGGCCATGTGCCACACATGTTGCTAGCTTGAAGATCAAACTAACTATGTGGCCCACACATAGAAAAACTTGCCTTGCAAGTCAAGGCATGTATCCTACAAAGTCAATACATATTGGAGGTCCTATAGAACATCGCCATGTAGCTCCTAATTAGATAGTATATATAGAGACAAGAGTGAAGCCCTCTTCACTCTTGTCAACTCCTTTCTTGCTTCTAGTCTAGTTTCAAGGGTCTCTAGTTTTCTTATCTTTTGGCAATAGTCATTCCAGTTTCTCTTTCAATATACATACTTGTTTATTTATATTTTGTTACCTTTCTTTGAGTGAAGGCTCACTTATCTAAATTTCTTTTTTATTGAGTTCTTATCCTTGATAGATTGACAAGAATACCCCTACAATATCAGAGCTTTGTCTAATCTTGATTAAGAGTGGATTACCCTTTTTTTTTGATAAGATATAAGCATATTAGAAGTTGCGGATTACCCTCTTCTAAACTGATATTGTCCTTAGTATTTTCTTTGTTCTTAAGTCCTCTCTTCTATTTGTCTTAAGCGATATTAGATATCTTCTCTTTTCTA